CTCGCATTTGGCCTGTGGTGACATGAAACAAATATCGGAAATTGGCATATTTGGATTAGATTAGACACATTTTTACTTTACTAAAATTGTTTTAATCATGGAGATCATCTTAAAGCTAATAGCTGAATTAAGTTATTGTTTCCAAAGAGCGTCGCGAATATCTGTATCAAACGCTTTTTCATAATTAATAAATATACACCAGAGTTTAGAAGTGACAAACGGGCTTTTTGTATCACTGAGTGAAGAATTAAGATTGCATACTTAGTATTATGGCCCTCGCGAAATCCGAACTGAGAGTCCATAAAGATAGTGCTATTTTTGCACAATTTGTAAATCCAATTTCGTAACAACAATGAAAATATTTTGTAAGTACATTTACAATAGATATTTACGGTGGCACAAAGGTGACATGTGTGTGTGTGTGTGTTTATTTATCTCATGGCCACGAGATACTAAGTCGTGGCCACGAGATAGCTAAGTCGTGGCGACGAGATAATTAAGTCATGGGCTTGAGATACTATGTCGTGACCACGAGTTACTAAGTCGTAGCCACGAGATAGCTAAGTCGTGGCGACGAGATAATTAAGTCATGGGCTTGAGATACTATGTCGTGGCCACGAGTTACTAAGTCGTAGCCACGACATAGCTTAGTCGTGGCGACGAGATAATTTATCAATCAGAATACACTATATATATATTATGAATTTTTTAAACTTAACAACTTACTTTTACAAGCAACATGATTCTTTGAAAATACTTAAGATATTCACTTTGAACTTGTATTTAGGATCATATTAGAAAGTCACCTTCCAAGGCCCATCAGACATTATTTTTGACTATAGCTCTTTTTTGGGACAAATTTTGTTATCGAACTGGTCAGTTTGTATGTACTACGGCCTGTTAACCTTGTTTATACGATACACGAGAAGGAATAAGTCCTGGTTTATTTTATTTGGAAAGGACATTGCCCATGGACAGTAGATAGCCTATTAGGTAAAATCCTTGTCTGATGAATAATTTAGAAGGGATAAGCCATGGTTTATATAACCCAGAAAGATCATTGCACCTGATCAGTAGATGGCACCTAATAATTTCGAGGCATTGGGTCAAAAATCTGGGTCACAGTGATGCTAAATGTAAAATTAATGAACATTCAATAAGTTGAATAAGTGGCACTTTTACAGGCTAGAAAAAAGGGGCATCCTTTTACTATAACACACGCCTAGTTAATAAGGGAAATTCAAAAAATGGTGTAATCTGACTTAGTAATCCGTGGCCACGACATAGTATCCCATGGACACGACTTATCTATCTCGTGGCCACGACTTAGTAACTAGTGGCCACGACATAGTATCTCATGGTCACGACTTAGCTATCTCGTGGCCACGACTTAGTAACTCGTGGCCACGACATAGATTATTGTGGCCACGAGATAAATAAAAACACACACATGTCACCTTTGTGCCACCGTAGAAATAAACTCTTAAGCATCAATAAAACTTGTAGTTGTTAAGATCACAACTCTTATTCCTTTTCAATTTAAGAAGTTAAAACTATTACTTCACCACTAAATAGTGTGTCAAGTTCTCTTATACATGTATGTAAGCGCTGTAAGTGAGGACAGTTCAGAATTTCTGTATCAAAATTCGTACCAAAATTCTCAGAAATATTGGTAAAATGCTGAACATTAATTAATGTCATTATTACATAATTTGCTTCTAGATTTGAATTTCGAAATATATGTAAGAAATTTAGGTGACGTCTTCCTCAAAGATTAAAGTGGTAATTTGGATAAGTTTGTCAAATGATTTTGATATCCACATAATATAAACTATATTGGTAAAAACAAAACAGTTACTAAATAATTGTTGTGTTCTGTTTGTGATTATTACAAACATTTTGACTGACCTGCCCAAAACATCAAAAACTGGAACAATGAAGTCTGAATAAACACAAAAATGAAATCTTTAGTTCTTAATTCTCTTAAAGAACATTGTATAATTACACGCAATTTGAAAGAGGATGCAAATGTGGCTTTGATTTTAGACATATTCAAATTTAATCATATCCGAGTACTATGAAACCTCTTTAAAATATGCATGTGGAACTGTATTTAAACAAATCCTGCAATATATGTCATTATATACATAATGATGAAGTAAAAAAAAAGAGTAAAACTAAGTTGGATTTATATTTTTGTAACCTTTAACAGCATCGTCTTTATTTAAACAAAAATTGTCTGCAGTATTATTATTTTATTTGTTTGGTTGGGTTTTACGTCACACCGACACAGTATTATTTTAAAAGCAAAGTATCATCAAGGGAATGAATTTTTTGATTTCTATACTTATTGTTATAACCACGGTCAATTAAGAATGTCATTTGAAAAGTATTGTGATTATGATGTATATATATATTTTGTAAAGTTGCAAAAATATCTTTAAAGGAAAGATTTAGCCTATTTTCTATAACATGTTACCATGGCAACCATGAAAACTGATGGAAATTTCAATGTATTTTTAAACATCACATTTTTGTATTTATTTCAGAGAAAACAAGGAAGTCTACGTGAAAAAAAACCCAATAATTTGGGCATTCAATCATAAGAATTAGACGCAATTTTAGAGATGTAAATTTCAGCTGAATTTAATTATACCCCACCCGTTTAAAATCATAATGCGTCCATAAGAAAAATGTCAATAAACATTAAAATTGTCATAAATGATAAGAGTTGAAGTTGTACTCTTGCAAAAAAGTACAATATGGAAATAAAAATTGAAATATGTTGTCATGGAAATGAAAATTTATATAAAATTTAATTTTTAGGTTATTTTTTATACATTTTCCATGATATTCTTTCAAATATTTTATATTTCTCACATAAAAGTGGACAAAAACCAATTTATTTACGGTAAACATGTATTTTCTATCATATTTATATGTGAAGACAAAAGTAACTTTGAAATTCTTGAAAACATTGGCCAATTAATGATAATTACTGTTTTTGAGGAATTTTGGCGGCCATCTTGGACGCCATCTTGGATTTCTTGATTGTCCGACCATTTGGGTTAAAATGAAATATCGTTTCGTATTCTACGAACCCTTGTGAACATTTTGGTATATAAAACTTATTGTTCCTAGACATAGACTGGTTGACCCCCAAAATATGCATGATTTACTAGTTCATTTCCTACACTAATAATTCTGTTAAATTTGATCGCAGCAAAAATTCCTTCCTTTACTACCATCTACACATTAAGGTTGTTCATCCTTGGAAGTTTAAGCAAAATCTGCCATCCGGTTTAAGAGGAGTTGCGTTCACAAAATTTCTACATTGTATAAAGTGAAAAAATCAACAAAGGGCCATAATTCTGTTAAATTTGGTCGCAGCAAAAATTCCTTCCTTTACTACCATCTACACATTAAGGTTGTTCATCCCAGGAAGTTTAAGCAAAATCTGCCATCCGGTTTAAGAGGAGTTGCGTTCACAAAATTTCTACATTGTATAAAGTGAAAAAATCAACAAAGGGCCATAATTCTGTTAAATTTGGTCGCAGCAAAAATTCCTTCCTTTATTACCATTTACACATTAAGGTTGTTCATCCCAGGAAGTTTAAGCAAAATCTGCCATCCGGTTTAAGAGGAGTTGCGTTCACAAGATTTCGGGACGTACGGACAGACGAATGGACGGACGGCCGGCCGGCCGAAATGGAATAAGGGGCCATTTTTTTTGTTATTTTCTATTGTTTAATAGAGGGCCAATGGCCCCTTACTCTATTGTTACGGAATGAACTCTATTGTTCTCTTTTGTTCTGTTTACAGTTAGAAGGCCCCCTATCCTTATTCGGTAGTGCGGACAGACGTACGGACGGACGGACAAGTGCAACGCTATATGCTCCCACATTGTGGGGGCATAAAAATGGCCTGGAAATTCAGTCAAAACAAAAAAACATGATTGTTTATCACATGCCCATGCACTTTAACGACTTCGTATTTGCATAATGTAAAGACACCCTAAATGTTAGCATTACACCATAAGTGAGTCAATGAAAAGGTGATTATTTTTATCGTTAACAGTTCTTATTTTGAATATGTGATAAAAAGAGTATTGTATCATTAGAGGCTCTCATGATATAATTTTATTCATCTCATTTTTAATTCAAATATAAATGTTAATATTATTTTCAAATTAATTTAAAATGCTTGTGCGAAATATGTAAATTATCAGTTGCCAAATAAAACTTGAATAATCCTAATCCATATCCCTTCTATATATACTGGTAGAATATGTTACATTTTCATGTACGGAGGAGATTTTTACTGTATTAAAGGAACTCCACTGAGGTCCCAAAGCCTTAAAAACATAAATTTTGAATTACTTATACAGATCAGCAGAAGTATTTAAATGGAAAGATATGCAAAAGATAATTAAGAAATAAAGTCAGTAATAAATTGAAAATCATTTCTTTGTGCTATTCATAGCCTGACTTTATTGAATAACCTTGAAACTTAGCGGCTCATGGGAAGATTGAGCACACCTAACTGTATCGCCTCCTTATTATAACACTTTTCCATTTTGGTATTTTTTTCACAATTAGAATAATTATTCTAAAAAAAAAAAAAAAAAAAATCAATGGAGTCCCTTTAAAATTTAATTTTCTATTACTCAGCATCTCTAATTTGACCCCTTAACCCAAAAATTTGATTGATAATACACAAGAATTTTAGATGACACTCAACTTGAATTTTCCTTTGTGGTTTATGAACATAATATTTACATTGAAAATGAACTAAAATTCTGCCGAAAATTTGTTTTTTAAAAACAAATTATTTCACATTCATTACTACTTTATTCTGGTGGCGAGCTTCTTATAAACTTTTAATCCAGTATTAAAACATGCTCAACATCTAAAGCCCTTTTCCAAGAATAAAAGAAAAATGTTAATTTTTGAGGCATTATAAGCCTAAAATACTTTTACGAAAATTATATAAAAAGTTACCTTCCACTTTTACCAGCTCTAGCCGTTCTACCAACTCTATGTACATAATGCTTCACTGTATTTGGCATGGTAAAATTTATCACCTGAAATATATACAATAACACATCAACAATTATAGGTTAAACTAGTGGAGGAGCACCCAACATGCTTATTGGTGGATTCTTTCAGGCCAGGGCACAGTATTTCAGACTAGGACAGGAACCATTTGGTGGGTTATTTCAGACTAGGGCAGGAACCATTTTGTATATTCTTTCAGACTAGGGCAGGAACAACTAGGGCAGGAAACATTTGGTATGTTATTTCAGACTCAGGCAGGAACCATTTGGTATGTTATTTTAGACTCAGGCAGGACCCATTTGGTATATTATTTCAGACTCAGACAGGACCCACTTTGTATGTTATTTTAGACTCAGGCAAGAACAATCTGGTATGTTATTTTAGACTCAGACAAGAACCATCTGGTATGTTATTTTAGACTCAGGCAAGAACCATCTGGTATGTTATTTTAGACTCAGGCAAGAACCATCTGGTATGTTATTTTAGACTCAGGCAAGAACCATCTGGTATGTTATTTTAGACTCAGGCAAGAACCATCTGGTATGTTATTTTAGACTCAGGCAAGAACCATCTGGTATGTTATTTTAGACTCAGGCAAGAACCATCTGGTATGTTATTTTAGACTCAGACAGGAACCATTTGGTATGTTATTTCAGACTAGAGCAGGAACCATCTGGTGGGTTATTTCAGACTAGGGCTGGAACAACTTGGTATGCTATTTCAGACTAGGGCTGGAACAATTTGGTATGTTCTTTCAGACTCAAGTAGGAACCACTTTGTATGCTATTTCAGGGTCTAGCAGGAACCACTTGGTACCTTATTTCAGACTAGGGCAGAAACCATTTTGTATATTCTTTCAGACTAGGGCTGGAATCACTTGGTATGATATTTCAGACTCGGAACAGAAATCACTTGGCATATATATTCTTTAGGCACAGACAAGAACCTGTCACTTTCAAGGACCAGAGATGAACCATTTACTTTTCACAAACTATTTTATTAGCATCCTGACACCACAGAACCTAAACATACTGCCAGATTTTGAACAGCTGCTGGTTGCAAAAGATTCTTTCTTCATCAGAAGTCTGAACCACACAACCATGGAGGCCCCTCATAAACAAAACTGTTCAACAAATGTTGTAACAAATTCAAGGTTTTGGCAATCAATGAAATTTAATGCTTATCTATGGATCTAGTCAGAAAGGTATTGATCTGACTTTTTATGTTCACATTAGGAGAAGAAAAGTAGGTATTGTGTAAAAAGCTATCTGGGCGGTACTTACAGTTTTCACACCTTCAATATCTAGACCACGTGCAGCAAGATCTGTTGCTAATAACACATCTACTTCTGAGTCTTTGAACCTTTTTAATGTCTCTAACCTCTAATAAATGAAACAATAAGAAGTATAACAAAATGTTTTTGCATTTATTTTGGTGTCTACTTTATTCATTGATAGAGGATATTGAATGAGTGTAAGTTTAAAACTGAATTTATTGAACAAGTTGATTAAAATTATATTATGCGAGCCTCTGGCAAGCACAATATTATTTTATTCAACATGTTTATATGACAAAAATGATGTCATGTCAAAACGTATGCGTGCAATACCATTTTTATGGAGTCGTAAAAGCGTCACAGGTTTGTGATAAAACAGAATATTTCACATTATTTAGGTATAAGAAATGATATTATACTTAGGATAAAATGTCCTTTGATTCCTATACTGTCCTTAGAACATAATTTTTTTTTCATAAACAAAAGTTTATCAAAATCAGACTGTATCTGAAAAACAATATTGCACACCTACTTATTATCAAAATCTCTTTTTTCTTACATTCTTTTTAAAGGACCATGACATCCCAAAATGCTTTTATTTCTATTTCTCAAAAGCTTTTAATTTTTGGTAAAGATACTAATTGGCCAATTATCTGAACCATCTTTTGCTTCTGTGGCTTTTTGACAATTAGTACAGTAAAAGTGTTTTAGTATTTTGTATAGATAACAAAATACTACCTTAATTAGATTCTGCTACTTTTATGACAAATTATTTCACATTCTGAAACGCTAAAATCATTATTTTTAATGTTATAAAACTCATGTTGAATTAAATATTTGTTGTTTCAGAGGCATAATACGCCTCTCAGCAAACCATTTTTATAAACATGATAATTAGTTATATGACAATATTTTGTACCTCATTTTTTAAGATTTTAACTTTCATTTTTTTCCTATATTTTTGAAACCACAACTTTCAAGTTCAATATTATTTTTGCAGTAGGTCTTCTTTTCAATTCTATTAAAATGACAACCAGATTTTTTTCCCTTGTAAATGTGACATATCAATCCAGTTCCCTGATTTTCTCAATCACTGTAGTTTCAACACAATAAAAGTTGAATAATTATTTCATATGAGAATGAAGATTACCTGAGCTTGTGATAGGTTGCCATGGAGTTCACCAACATTTATTCCCAGCAATCCTAACACTAAATGCATTCTGTGAGCTTGTTTCTTTGTTTGTATAAAAACGATGACATGATCTGGGAACGATCTAGCGAGCAGAGCTAAAATATGATATAGCATAACAATAATAACATCATATACCAGTTTCTTTTTTTTATCTTATAAACTTCAAATATTCTTAAATATAGTTTATTTTATAACCCTGATGAAGACTTGTGGAAGTCACAAACGTCCGTTATCATCATTAAATAAACCTTAAAACTTACCCCGAGTTGATTGCTTCACTTGTATCATTTGCTTTAGTTGCTAAATTACCTTGTTCTATTCATACTTAGCACAAATACAAATATAAAATTAATCATTATTTTATCTGTTATTTTAAAACATATTGATTGAAATCTTTAAAATTTTAAACCTTAATGACATGTCTGGGTTTATAAGTGAATATTGTCAGAGGTTAATTATGTTTTTTGCCAAACCAAATGTTACACACACACCAGCATATGTAGGACTGTCATACTATGTGAGGACATAATTGTGAGTAAACTAGGCATTGTGAATTGTTCATTTCCTTTCTTTACACTGGATATTTATATACATAGGAAGTGACGTTATGTTATTAACGTAAACAAAAGATTTCGTGGAAAAGCGACGTTATGTCGACATCGCACTAAATCTAAACATACTATTACTATTCTCTGAGTAGTCAGACTAAAGAAATTACAGACTTAGCTACATAAATAATAATCCATACCTGCAACAATGGCTTCCCTATCACCCTCCTTGTTGCCTCGTATTCTGATAAACTCCTGTCGTAAACCGAGGGCAGTATCTGTGTTCTCGTTTATAAATACTTTCACTGGTTTGTTTAGCGACACTGCAGCTAAATCTTTAACCTATGATCCGCATAGAAAATATCAATCTTTTATAGGAAAATCTGATAATTATAACAATGGTAGGTATCCAAATGCAGCGTGAAAGCAAGTTGGATGTACATGTATTTTTATGATCAAGTGATCCGATTCATGCACATATCTGCATGTTTTACTCAACAATTCCAACACACATCTACATTTAAATAAACATGTGCAAAAATTAGTGAACTGCAATGCAGTCACATACATGTAGTTTATCTTTTTTTCACTTTATTTTTTTTTTCAAGAAAAGCAGCGTATCAACTTTGATCACATCAAGATTGTTCCAAACATATTTATTTTGTTTAGAGAGACACAACTTTTCTTGATCTAAACATATTTTTACTACATGTTTTATTAGGTTTGGTTCAGAATACTGCACAATCACATAGGTATGAATAACATATTTATAAAGGAAAAGCAACATTCATCAAAAGTAGCCTCTTAAATAAGTTTTAGTTATAACTATGATACATAACAATGAAGGTACTAACTTGTTCTGACATGGTAGCAGAGAATAACATGGTTTGTCTGGTACGAGCACATAGTCGTATCACCTCCTTCATCTGTTCAGCAAAATACTCGTCTAACATTCTGCATGATAATAAAAAATCATATTTCAATAAAGAATTTCTTTACTTATTTTAGTTGGTTTTGAAGGAAGCTTACAGCTTTTAAGAAACACTCTTGAATCCGTTCCTGGAACAAACCAGTACTGAGTTAGGTTATAAAAAGTAGTAGCCTAATGCTTTTGGGTTCAGGCCTTTCTAGAGTCGCTACCATATTTCCGCATTTAACACCAGAACTGGACTGTTCCAGGAAGAAGACTCAAGAGTGATAATTAATACAAGTTGGAAGAACTTATTTCACAATCAAGCTTAAATAAATACGTTTAAACTAAAATAAAACAAAGTGTATACACTTAGTTCAATAAGTTCAAGGTTACCTGTCAGCCTCATCCAGGACCAGGATTTCTACACTGTTCAGGTTGAAACTAGGTGAATTATGGAGATGATCTATCAATCGACCAGGCGTTGCTATGACGATATCTGGTCCTAAACGTAAAGCTGCTTCTTGCTGTTTTATATCCAAACCACCTATATATATATCATAAAGGTAAGTCTTAATACATCCAACACCCTGCTGTATTTCATAAATGGACTTGTCCAGCTTCCATTACTGGAACTGTTCATTATCAATTTGGGGGATATCAATATGAATATTTCAAGTTAGTCAGTCGACAGTATAAAGCCTATTTAGACGTCATGGTTGAAAAGGTTGGCCAGGCTTTGCACTCGTGGCAAAGACAAATCACTTAAAAACTTCATATGAAAATACTGAGAAAACTTAATTTATGTATGTTTTTACATATTTTACGTATGTCAAAATGTCACTAAATGAAAACTTTTAACTGTTGATGGGCAAGAAGGACTTTCTCAAAAACAAAACGCATTTCTTTAAAATCTTGAAAAAATATTGCATAAATTGTGGGATTTCACTAACAAGCTGGAAACATACCAGTTTGTAAAAATCAATTGACTTTATAATGCCTTACTAATAGATATTGGTAATAATGGAAAAGGAGGTAACTTCTCATGTTATACAATTTTCAAAGAAAAAAAATTAACTTAATATTTAACATACCCGCGGCAAGTATAAGTTCAATGTTTGTGTAGTTGGCAAGTTGTTTGCCTACAGTATGTACTTGGACAGCTAACTCACGGGTAGGAACAAGAATTAACACTCTCGTCACGGATGACTGCTTTGGCTTGTACAATAATCTCTCTAATATTGGTAACATAAATGCTATAGTTTTACCTGTAAAAACAATCATAAAAGAAATGATCAGAATCTGTGAATACTTTGATACTTTTGAAGAAGCTGCTTCTTATGGAAAAACAATTCAATGACAATTAGAAGGAAATGGAACATTATGATGAAAGAGCTTTTAATTGTTGAAATACACATATCACCTCAAAATTCCAGCAAGGACTTACTTTCTTATTCAATGAACTTATTATGCAAGTATTTTCAAACAGAAGCCTACATAAATTTGCATTCATCTCTCAGCCTCAGATTTGTGACCCAGACAGGTGGAATAGACATGGCATTACCATCACTATCATTCACTTAAACATATATGTACATATGTATGATTACTTGCATATTCCTAGTACCTCAAAGATCAGCATAGTCAAATAAGATGGACATGCCCTTTTTTTCAGCTTTAAAATTGACTATTCTCAGTGTTCAATAGTAATAAAGGGGGCATAACTCTGTAATTTGAGCTAAAAATGATTTTTAAATTTCTGTTATCAGACACTCATTAAATATCATGTAAAAAGTATGGGTGTCTGCAGGAATATGTAGTAATAGAATGTACAAGGTTTTCTTATCATCATTACTTCCTCTCTGAATTATTCCAGGAGATGCTAATAAACAACTTGAACAGTAAAATATTTTGATATTTCACCTTGACCTTGTTAACCTTACCTGACCCAGTTACAGCACATGCACAGATATCTCTGCCCAGTAAAGCTATAGGTATAGTAGCTGCCTGTATCGGAGTAGGTTTCTCAAAGTTCATCTGTTGTAATGACTGTAACAGATAGGATATGATTTCAAACACTGTAAATCCAAATATATACAATATTTGAATATCTTTGAATAAAAAATCTCTTATTCATATTTTAACTTAAAGAAGTTCCATCAATCATATATTAATATAGGCCTAGTACAGTCACTGTACATCACAAATAAATGTGTTTGATTTTTCTAAAGTTTGCTTAAAAATAACAATGACAATGTTAATGTAATGTGTCAACTGTTCTTCTAAACAGTTGGATTAAGTACTTAAGAGCACATTCTTAATACAAGTGTGCAGAAATTCAAACACAATTATTTTCTAGGCATAAAATATCTTAGCAGATTAAGAGCACCGGACAGCAAACATCCATTGATCTAAGTCAGTGACCTTCATAATTAAGTTGAAACTATCTGAAAACAACAAGGGACATAATACAAGTATTAATTAACAAAAATCATAAAAATCCTGTTTTATAAAAAAAGAAAAAAATAATTTTTTAATTGCTTTTTTCCCTAAACAGAAATTAATGAGATGTTATACACCATCTGTGAAGTGGGGATAAAAGACAGGTACATACCTTCATGAGTGGCCTTGAAACATTTATATCTTGAAATGCCACATTTTTATCATATGTATCTACATTCTCTGAAAACTGAACTTTCTCTCCCTCCTATTAAAACAAAACATAAATTACACACTATAATACAAATTAATATTTACTGAACATATTCTAGTAAATTTTCAGGGTTTTTTTTTTGGCGCCAATATTAGTCATTTTAGAAAGTTTTTCATGACTGTAAAGTAAAATATCACCATTGGTTTCTTTTATCTTGAAATTATCTGCTAAAGCAGATTTCTTTTACGCTATTTCTGCAGGAAAATGGTTTATTTGTTTATGGAAAATTCAAATATATTCGTTAGTTTCCATTTTTTATAAAGCCTTAAAAAGACAATTATCCATGCATATTTTCAATTACACACAGAAACTGTTGTTTCAAACTAGAGGATGCTTTTGTAAAAAAGCGCATGTCTCCCCCACTGCACTGTGACCTTGACCTTTGACCTACTGACCCCAAAAACAATAGGGATCATCTGCCCTATAAGACCAATCATCCTATGAAGTTTGAGGGCTGTAGGTCAAAAGGAACTCTAGTTATCATCCGGGAAACGAGAAATTGACCAACGGTCACTGTGACCTTGACCTTTGAACTACTGACCCCAAAAACAATAGGGATCATCTGCTCAATAAGACCAATCATCCTATGAAGTTTGAGGTCTGTAGGTCTAAAGGAACTCTAGTTATCATCCGGAAACGAGAAATTGACCAACGGTCAGTGTGACCTTGACCTTTGACCTACTGACCCCAAAAACAATAGGGATCATCAGCTCTATAAGACCAATCATCCTATGAAGTTTGAGGGCTGTAGGTCAAAAGGAACTCTAGTTATCATCCGGAAACGAGAAATTGACCAACGGTCAGTGTGACCTTGACCTTTGACCTACTGACCCCAAAAAAACAATAGGGATCATCTGCTCTATAAGACCAATCATCCTATGAAGTTTGAGGGCTGTAGGTCAAAAGGAACTCTAGTTATCATCCCGGGAAACGAGAAATTGACCAACGGTCACTGTGACCTTGACCTTTGACCTACTGACCCCAAAAACAATAGGGATCATCAGCTCTATAAGACCAATCATCCTATGAAGTTTGAGGGCTGTAGGTCAAAAGGAACTCTAGTTATCGTCCGGAAACGAAGAATGGACGGACGGACGGACTGACGGACGGACGGACGGACAGGGCAAAAACAATATGTCTCCCCCCGAGGTGGGGGAGACATAATTAATAGATCATAAATGTCTGAATAAACACATAAAAAAACACATATAACATTTATGCAATAAGTTTAAAAGTTGTGACAAAAATACTATCAATTTTTGTTAGTTTCGTTCCGTTTAACGTTGCACCAATACAAATCAAACCCATTTAGATTTGACCTTAATTTAAACTTATTATATGAATTGTTCATTATACTGGCTAGTGATAAGAAAATTTAATGTTTAAATTAAATTAAGCAAAAGTACCTCTTCTTCATCCGAGTTTTGTCCTTTCTTTTTCTTTCCTTTCCTTTTCTTCTTTTCTTTTAACTTCACTTTGTCTACAAGACAGGGTGTAAAAATGTATATGTACAAACACATAGATAATTTTCAACATCACAATCAATCTTATAACAATGGTGATTATTATAAGAAGACATACATGTACACTTTTTTAAAAGCAGATATTTTCAAGTCATAATGAAAGATGAAAATTTGTCTCTGTCAAAAAATGACAAATACTGAGAAATTAGTAATATTTGTGGGTCATTAATTTTCGTGGATTTCGTGGGTAGGCATATCCATGAATTTTAGACCGCAACAAAAAATCTTCTGCTGAACCTTAATTATTAACAAATGCAAAGTCCATGGATTAATGTGCCGGCGATATGGTTAATTTAACAATCAACGCAATTTTATGCCCACAAGTACATGTGACTTCATAGTAACGTAAAACATTTATATTGAATTAAACTACTAGTATCACTGATTGATACAGTTTCTTAAGAATTTTAAATTTGTGAAAAAACATGTCATTACGATACTTGAATGTCATTTGTATGTTTTCTGAATAAATTAAGTACACCAGACAAGAGGCACATCTAATATAGACAAAACCTGACTGCTGACAGTGCGTTCACTTTTCTCTGTGCTAGATCTTCATAGTAAATTGGGAATAACTGTGCAAAGAATAATTTTAGAATTATCTTCCCTTTTGAAATGGCGTGCTTTTTATGACGAAAACAAGATGTTTACCAAGTTTAAAGTCAAGAGCTTTCATAGTTTCTGAGAAAATGGACCTTATCAAAAAGGTTAACCAATGCCAACCAATACACAAATGCCAACATGATGGTCATGACAATAGCTCCGCCTTTTTCTCCTCGAAAAGTGGAGCTAAAAATGGCAATTTATATTCTACATAGATCAATACAATCAGTAAGTACAAGATAAAGCAGGGCTTTTTTCACAGGTTGGGGAAGCAGCTGTGCCCTTAATTTTGGGGGAAAATTACACAGTATATTTGCAAACGGGGAAGAAAAAACTTGATGTATATTCAATTTTTTTGGGAAAACTGCATGATTTTAAAGAATTTGGGGAAGCAGCCCTATAACGGTCCTGCTATAGAAGGAAAAAAAGCCATGTATAGCCAGTACATACCAGCTTTAAACTCCTCATCTGATGATTCAATATCCTCCTCCATCTCCTCCTCTACAAACTTTTCTTCTGTTTTAACATCTTCATCATCTGTATCACCATTCTATATATACAACAAACACTTCTTAATCTTAATTCAACTAGAAATGTGTCATCATGCCACGGATATCCCCGCATGCAGCCAAAATTTCAGATGTTATAATATTTAGTTCTAAATTTGTTTGCACAAATTATTTTTTTCATTTTAAGTTCAAAGCCCTTAAAACTTTTCAATGTTAACACAAACCATTTTCATACAATGTTCAAGGCACTGAAATTATTCAGTCTAAACCTTTTGAAAATAGCATATTTCATATTTGTAGCCAAAATAATGGCTACATCGTTTCAGTGCTGAAACTGAAAGTTCAAAATTTTTCCAACATTCAAGAAAGATAAGTTTGTCCAAAATCATTGAACCACGACCAAATTTAAACTTAAACTGCTTATTCCTAAGATGTATCTATATTATTTCCAAAGTGAAAGGGACATAACTCTGCCAAAAAATCATCAAACCATGACCAAATTCCAACTTGACCTGCCCATTCCTTTGACATATCCATATGTCAAATTTGAATTGTTGGGTAGATAATGAATAGAAACTGTAAATTTCATATTATTTTCAAAGTGAAAGGGGCATTACTCTGCCAAAAATCATTGAACCATGACCAAATTCCAACTTGGACTGGGCATTCTAAAAACAAATCCATATGTCAAATTTGAGTTGAATGTGTTGTACCGTTGGGGAGATAATAAACAGAAACTGAAAATTTCATATTATTTTCAAAGTGAAAGGGGCATAACTCTGCCAAAAATCATTGAACCATGACCAACTTTGAACTTGACCTGCACATTCCTGTGACGTATCCATATGTCAAGTTTGAGTTGAATGTGTTGTACCATTGGGGAGATAATGATCGGAAACTGAAAATTTCATATTATATTCAAAGTGAAAGGAGCATAACTCTACCAAAAATCATTGAACCATGACCAAATTCGAACTTGACCTGTATTTTCTCACGACATATCCATATGTCAAATTTGAGTTGAATGTGTGCAACCGTTACTAAGATAATGAACGGAAACTGATGATGACGGAATGACAGAATGACGGAAGGACAGAATGACGGAAGGACGGAACAGGGTAACACTATATGCCCCGGCCATTACATGGCGGGGGCATAACAAAAATACTACATCAGTTCTGTATTAAGCTAGAATAGCTTTCTGGTATTCAAGCAATCAACATTACTAGTAAACAAGAGCTTTCAGTGGGAAAGAATGTTCAATTATTCTCAGTGACTGATAGTAAAACAAGAGCCTGGATAATGTAAATGTTCAAACAAGAGCGATCAGTAATCACATGTGTCGCCTCATGAAGGCAAATTTCATGTTGGGACAAATTTTTGTGACAGACAGACAGACAGACGGACAGTGCACAACTAGACTTGGTACTGATCATTCCTGTAAAGTTTGGATAAAATTGCACCAGTAGTTTATGAGTAGTAGTCCGGACAAGCTTTTGCGTATCTGGCAACACACAGAAAAAAACACCTTTTTATCAAAGGGCCATAACTCAGCCAAAAATCATTCAACCGGAAAATCCGTGCAATATGCGCAAGGACTTGAGCTACAGATCAATCCTGTAAAGTTCCATTGAAATTGCATGAGTGGTATAAGAGAAGTAGTCCGGACAAACTTTAAAATTAAAAATTATTAAAGGGCCATAACTCTGACAAAAATCATTGAACCGGAAAATGCTGACAATATGCACAACTAGACTTGGTACTGATCATTCCTGTAAAGTTTGGATGGAATTGCACCAGTAGTTTATGAGAAGTAGTCCGGACAAGCTTTTGTGTATCTGGCAACACACAGAAAAAGAAACCTTTTTATCAAAGGGCCATAACTCGGCCAAAAATCATTCAACCGGAAAACCCGTGCAATATGCGCAAGGACTTGAGCTACAGATCAATCCTGTAAAGTTTCATTGAAATTGCATTAGTGGTATAAGAGAAGTAGTCCGGACAAACTTTAAAATTAAAAATTATTATTAAAGGGCCATAACTCTGACAAAAATCATTGAACCGGAAAATGCTGACAAATATGCACAACTAGACTTGGTACTGATCATTCCTGTAAAGTTTGGATGAAATTGCACCAGTAGTTTATGAGGAGTAGTCCGGACAAGTTTTGTGACGGACGCACGGACAGACAGACAGACAGACGGACAGACAGACGACGGAGAAGTGATCCCTATATGTCGCCACTACTCCGTAGAGGCGACACAAAAAGGCCATAATTCTGTCAAAATCCAGGTAAGAGTTATTGGCTTTGGACAATGATCTATTTTGCATTAAAATAATTGTGTAAAGCTTCAACTCATCCCCTTCAGTAGTTTTGGCAATATGCAAAACTTGCATGAAAAACTTTAACCAAAATGCGACACTAAGTAGGGGTGAATACAATAGCTCTCCCTATTATTTTAATAGTGGAGCTAAAAATAAATCATTGCCTACTTTTAAAACCCATGTAAGTAAGCAAAACTGTTTTATGGTCTATCATGAAGACATTATTTCTGATGAAAGGCATTATCACATAGAAAAGGAGCTTGTTGGTTGCAGTACAAGTCATTGCAGAGAAACCAATTATTTCCAAGTGTATATTTTAAGTCTTTCAGCTTAAATGTGAAGATAATAGGTTTCAATGTAATGTGGTTTATATTTTCTATAACAATTTGATAATATTATCAATTGCCTTCAAAATAAAGTGAGTTACCTCTTTCTTTCTTTTCTTCCTGGCTGCAGCAATCTTTTCATCTAATGAGAAAGTTGGCTCTGCTTTCTTTGCAAACTGTAAGTTGATTGTCTTAAAGCCCTTAAATGGGTCATCCTGAATAATATGAAAATACAATACTCAAATATAAATAAAATACACAATGTAAATTTATAAATAAAATACACAATGTAAATTGAAATCAGTATGTAAAAAGTAAATTATTGATTATTATTATTATTATTATTACTAATTCCTACAGTTGTGAAAATAATGTCTTTAAACATATAAAAGAGGTCTAGAAATTCTATTTTCTTTCAAATGAATTATTTTTTTTATTATCTTCTTTTTTTGCTGTTCTACATCACACCACCACTGTAAAGGTCATATGGCAACTTTCCATCTTTACTGGTGGAGGAAGACCTTAGGAGCCCTTCCATGCCATATTTCAGACACAAACGGGCACCTTAGTAGAACCACTAATGTTCAGTAAACTACCTGGATAACTTCCTCACATGAATCCTATCTCTTGTGGAATTTGAACCCACAGCAGTGAGGGGAAAGTACATGTAGTTTGAAGTCAACGATCTTTACCACTTGGCTACAGACACATCTAAGTACCACATCAGGAAATGTTAATCATCCAATACCTTAACATAACCACGTTTTCCAGAGCAAATGAGAATTTTGCTAATCTTTAAACACTCATTTTCTCCTCTTGCTTAAAAGACAAATATTATGTAAATAAAAATTTCAAAAATGCAGATACCAGTTCAGTGAAACTAAATCCTGTACTGAAATCCTTTTTGGCCTTCTTTTTCTTCTTTTTCTGTACTTGAACCTGAAATAAAAGCAATGAAATAATGAAACCATTAACTAATTTATGTATGTTAAAATAGAGTCATATTCAAAGTCATCCAATGTCAGACTTTGGTTTCACAAACTGTAATGTACATGTTAAATTGATTTTGATTTTAAGAAATATTTTTATAGAATAATAGATTTAATTTTTTTTCTAAACAAGTATAAGTTCAAAGAACACCAGCCCATTTATATGAAATTAATTAAACTTGATTATAATTATTACGGTGAACATGGTCTACACTAAACAGGAAGCGAGATGACAATGATATGATAACAGTCGTGCTTGTTCTTTATTTTCATCCCAGCTAATTTTTCTTCTTCAGTCTTTCCAAAAAAATATGTTTGTCTTTATTTTCCTGGAAGATATTGTTATTGTATTGCTATACTTGTCTGCCATATTGATGCATCGGGAGGTCACATATGTATTGCATCATGATATATTGGTATTTATGAGTGGAAGTCAAAGCCCAGCTTTGACTCGCTCGACTATAGACTACCATGTATATTTAAAAAGGAAATCAAATATAGAAAAAAAAAATAAAATGAAAAAAAAAAAAAAAATAGAATTCTATTTGTTTGTTTGTTTGTTTGTTTCATTTTACGCCCTTTTCCAACAGTATTTCAGTCATATAGGCGGGTAGTTTCCTAACCATCGTTCCTGGAGAGTTACACCAGTACTAGACTACCTTCCTCCTCGCTAAACTACCAAAGCATCTCCCGGGGATCAAACCCACGCCAGAGAGGTAGCTGGATTAGAAGTCATCGACTCTAACCCCTCGACCACGGAGGCGGTCATAGAATTCTATACATATCAGTGAAATTTTCCGTAACGCAATGATGAGTATTCCGATAATGTATCAATCACAACTTTTCAATTTCGATTTTATTATGTTCCCGACAAAGATGAAATGCGCTGGGGATGAGTCAGAACGGAAGCGGTGCATAAAATACAGAATGATACTTTCAAAACAGAAAATATAAAATAAACAATTTTTTTACAGCAACCTCGAAGAGCTAGCCTGATGGGCCTGCTCGCGAAGCAGCTTTATGGTTAGGTGAGTACCTGCTAGATAGTGATGGTTTTGAAAACTTTCGTCGGAAGTGGGAAATTGACACATTGAAACTTTTTGGAATTACAAAATAAGGATAAAAGCAGAGGTATTCTGATTGAAAACGGATGCTTAGACTAGTGTCCTGTGCACTTTTATAGGAACCATAATAGGACAGGGAACCAGAATAAACGGAAGCAGTGTATAAAATACCGAATGACAGTTTTCAAACGAAAAATGTAAAATAAAAGTTAATGATTATTATGCCCCCATTTCGAAGAAAAGGGGGTATATTGCTTTGCACTTGTCGGTCCGTCGGTCCGTAGACCAAATGGTTTCCGAGTGATAACTAAAGAACCCTTAGGCCTAGGAACTTCAAACTTGGTATGGTGATTGGTCATGACCAGTAGATGACCCCTATTGATTTTGGGGTCAAGGGGTCAAAGGTCAAGGTCACATTGACCTTGTAAGCAAAAACGGTTTCCGATCAATAACTAAAGAACCTTAAGGCCTAGGAACTTCAAACTTGGTATGGTGATTGGTCATGACCAGTAGATGACCCCTATTGATTTTGGGGTCAAGGGGTCAAAGGTCAAGGTCACATTGACCTTGTAAGCAAAAACGGTTTCCGATCAATAACTAAAGAACCTTAAGGCCTAGGAACTTCAAACTTGGTATGGTGATTGGTCATGACCAGTAGATGACCCCTATTGATTTTGGGGTCAAGGGGTCAAAGGTCAAGGTCACATTGACCTTGTAAGCAACAAGCAATTATCATAGTATTGCAAGCAATCCATAAGTCCCCTACCGGTAAGAGCCCAAGCAACATTCTGAAGGGCCATTGGCCATTCACTTATGTTTCAATTTTAAGTAAATTTGTTGAAAAAGTTCGGAAACAGTTTTTATGTACAGACAGACAGACGGACTGAAGAAAACATCCCTGTTATCAAAATATAACATTTTTAAAAGCAAAAATTTTTAAAAAGGAGATATTTACGATGTCATACATGATGTGAGTGTAACAAAGAACAATTAGTAATGAAGGTATGAATATTGAATGTTTATTTTGAAGTAAATGAAAGTTAAAAGAACGAATAGGAAAAATTAAAAGTTTAAGGAGGAGATAATTCTGGAAATATGGATGCTAGATTTATAAACCTTGTCATATTATTATGATGTGGGAGTTTGAAGAAAATCCTATCATGATTGAAGAAGTTGGAGTAAAAATTACCAATTTCTCAAAAAAAAAGTCTAAGTTCAAAAGGGGCATAATTCTGGAAATAGTCTTGCTAGAGTATTGAACACTCACAAATGTTGAGTGATAATAAGAAACATTTATATGAAGTTTGAAGTAGATACATTCAGAAAAAAAGAAGTTATTAAAAAAAACAATGTTTTTTTCATGAAAATTTTAAGTTCAAGGGAGGTAATTCTGATAAATTTTGTGCTAGAGTTGTAAACCTTGTCACATATGATGTGGTTGATGACTAGCAACTTATATTTAAAGTTTGAAGAAAATACCTTAAGAAATAAAGAACTTATAGTGAAAAAACTTAAAAACTAGAATCAGATATCTTGAAATTCAGTCTATTTGTTGCCATAGCAACCAGAATTTTCAACATAGGAAGATAAGAAAAGGATGTGCATAATTTCCATACTGCCATCTACCCATATGTCAAGTTTCATAAAAATATTTTTAGTACTTTTTGCGTTACCACTGGATCCAGGTTATGTGTAAAATTTGGCATATTTTCAGTCTATTTGTTGCCATAGCAACCAGAATTTTCAACATAGGAAGAAAAGAAAAAGACGTGCATAATCTCCATACTGCCATCTATCCATATATCAAGTTTCATAAAAATATTTTCAGTACTTTTTGCGTTATCGCGGGATCCAGGTTATGTGTAAAATTTGCCATATTTTCAGTCTATTTGTTGCCATAGCAACCAGAATTTTCAACATAGGAAGAAAAGAAAAAGACGTGCATAATCTCCATACTGCCATCTATCCATATATCAAGTTTCATTAAAATATTTTCAGTACTTTTTGCGTTATCGCGGGATCCAGTTTTGTGGACGGACGGACTGACGGACTGACGGACGGACTGACGGACGGACAGACGGACAGACGGACGGAGGGTAAACCTAAAGTCCCCTCCGGTAAACCGGTAGGGGACTAAAAACGGTTTCCAATCAATAACTAAAGAACCTTAAGGCCTAGGAACTTCAAACTTGGTATGGTGATTGGTCATGACCAGTAGATGACCCCTATTGATTTTGGGGTCAAAGGTCAAGGTCACATTGACCTTGTAAGCAAAAACGGTTTCCGATCAATAACTAAAGAACCTTAAGGCCTAGGAACTTCAAACTTGGTATGGTGATTGGTCATGACCAGTAGATGACCCCTATTGATTTTGGGGTCAAAGGGTCAAAGGTCAAGGTCACATTGACCTTGTAAGCAAAAACGGTTTCCGATCAATAACTAAAGAACCTTAAGGCCTAGGAACTTCAAACTTGGTATGGTGATTGGTCATGATCAGTAGATGATCCCTATTGATTTTGGGGTCAAGGGGTCAAAGGTCAAGGTCACATTGACCTTGTAAGCAAAAACGGTTTCCGATCAATAACTAAAGAACCTTAAGGCCTAGGAACTTCAAACTTGGTATGGTGATTGGTCATGATCAGTAGATGATCCCTATTGTTTTTGGGGTCAAGGGGTCAAAGATCAAGGTCACATTGACCTTGTAAGCAAAAACGGTTTCCAATCAATAACTAAAGAACCTTAAGGCCTAGGAACTTCAAACTTGGTATGGTGATTGGTCATGATTAGTAGATGACCCCTATTGATTTTGGGGTCAAGGGGTCAAAGGTCAAGGTCACATTGACCTTGTAAGCAATAACGATTTCTGATCAATAACTAAAGAACTTTAAGGCCTAGGAACTTCAAACTTGGTATGGTGATTGGTCATGATCAGTAGATGACCCCTATTGATTTTCGGGTCAAGGAGTCAAAGGTCAAGGTCACATTGACCTCTTGGGTAAAAACGGTTTCTGATCAATAACAAAAGAACCCTTAGGCCTAGGAACTTCAAACTTGGTATGGTGATTGTTCATGACCAGCAAATGACCCCTATTGATTTTGGGGTTAAGGGGTCAAAGGTCAAGGTCACATTGACTTTGTAGGTAAAAACGGTTTCCAATCAATAACGAAAGAACCCTTAGGCCTAGGGACTTCAAACTTGATATGGTGATTGGTCATGATCAGTAGATGACCCCTATTGATTTTGGGGTCAAGGGGTCAAAGGTCAAGGTCACATTTACCTCTTAGGTAAAAATGGTTTCCGATCAATAACTAAAGAACCCTTAGGCCTAGGAACTTCAAAACTTGGTATGGTGATTGGTCATGACCAGTAGATGACCCCTATTGATATTGGGGTTAAGGGGTCAAAGGGCAAGGTCACATTGACCTTGTAGGTAAAAATGCTTTCAAATCAATAACTTAAGAACCCTTTGGCCTAGGAACTTCAAACATGGTTTGGTGATTGGTCATGACCAGCAGATGACCTATTGATTTTGGGGTCAAGGGGTCAAAGGTCAAGGTCACATTGACCTTGTATGTTAAAACGGTTTCTGATCAATAAACTAAAAACGCTTAGGCCTAGGAACTTCAAACTTTGTATGATGATTGGTCGTGACCAGCAGATGACCCCTATTGAGTTTTGGGTCAAGGGGTCAAAGGTTAAGGTCATGACCAGAAGATACTTGATAACCCTTAGTAATTGTTTGATCACTGGGTCAGAAGTCATGCATAATAACCTTATCACATGACTAATTGGCTGCTGATAGGGGGCATACATGTTTTACAAACATATCTTGTTTTATACTATTTCACAGTATGCCTTTTTCATATTATATGATGTCTCCATTCATAGGTTTTGCCTACTTTCATATTAATTTTATTCCAATGCATACATCGAGGACAGGGCAGATAGCAATGCATTGATGAATCGTTACACCTCTAATTTTCTTTTATTTAATTCTTTCCATTGAAATAAATATTCGTAGTTAATTGTGGGTAAGCGGTAGCTCGTGCAAGCCTTTGACTTCATCATACATATAAACAAGGACCATATATATATCCTACCACATCAACCCAAATTCGGCTTTCTCCTAAATTTGGGGATGTTTTGTTTTTCATCATTCACGCAAGATTTCAGAGGTGAAGGTCAATCATGTTTATGTCCCACAGTCTATTTTTACAACTAGTAGCAACCCCAGTTAGCCGCTGATAAGCACGCCAATTAACTGGAAATTTGCAGGAATTTGGTACTACCAGTGGCATTTTTCCTGTTATTTTGTCATTAGTTGTCAAATTTTTTTGCACAAAGGCTATTTTAAAAGCATATAGATTTCTGCCTAATCTGCATATTTTCTTTTTGTGATATATCGATCATTATCAGTTTTATGACACAATAAACACCACGTGTTACCATTTTTACTCGCAGCGGCGAATAAACAAGTTGCATGCAAACTCCGCGTGACCCCTGTCGTGTTTATTTGTCTTTACGGGTGACTTGCATTTGATGAATATTAATTAGATGGACGAGTCCATTTAAAAAACATCACGAGGTTCATTCATGAATTTGAGGCAAATTTCTAGCTTCATCCGCACCGAAGATATAATCCCCTAAAGTTAAACCAATTTTATACGAACATCATTAATTTGCGAATTATGCACCATACATAATCGTAAAGCACAGATTCTTATCTTTAATTTGGTGTATAAATCATTTTTGAACTAGAGTGATTTTCTGTGCTAAAGATGGAGATACGGCTGGTAAACATTAAAAATTGTATATGACATGAAGAAATTTGTGTGTTTTACCTAATGCAATTTCAAGTTTATTTATATTTTCCTCTATTTGATTAACATTGTTGCTTAAAATAATTTGACAGTCGCTGTCTGTTAACTTATCTTACTTTTTTACTGCCAATCTTGGTCAACATACTACATCACAATCCCGCCAAAATTAAAAATTTACTGCAACCAATCAAAATCGCCGAATTTAGGAGACCTTTACAGATCGTAGTAGGATTTTACATCAGCCATATTTGTTTATATTTGGCAACCGCTGAACAATTACATTGTTAGAAATCAACTTAAAGTTACTTTTAAATATGTGTAGTAAAATTATATCAAGTATAATTATAGATTACTGTCGTTTATTGAAAATGCCATTGACATTTGTTCTTATATCGCCGAATTTAGGTTACACTGGGATATACATGGGCAGGGTAAAACAAAATATACATGCTATGCTCACATTTCATGAGGACAGTGTTTGACACTTACGGACAGGTGTATAAAAATCTTAGATTAAATGGGTGGTCGTTAAATTTGCATATTGTGAATTTGTCTGTAAGTAGGATGCCATCCAAGACCTGATTTAACTGTAAACATGTGATTTTCTGATTTCGCGAGCCTGTAACAAAGTGAGAAACGTTTATCCACAATAAATTATCAGCTGATTGGATGACAAATAGAGATATGTGTAATTCTTACAGCTTCATCGTCACTTTCGGAGCTTTCTGATGCTAGCTTTATGTCATCATTCTCTGAAATCGTGCCAATCAGACCTAACTCCATGCAGGCTGCCATGTTTCAGTTTCTTCATTAACGAAAAATATTCGAATTACACTTTTATGTAGAAAGATTAATTTTGGCAATGTTTCGTCATAAGATTCATTATTAGAAAATCTTCTGCGAAATGATTAATCATTTAAATCTATAATAATCAATAAAAAACGAAAAATGCGATAATTCGAAACTTCTGTGTCATGTTTTATAGCCGTAACGTCCCGTACATTATTTTGGCGGGAAGTGGTGAAACAGCTGGAAAATAAAACCTAAGATAAATATGGGAATAAAAGGCTTGTCACAACTCCTGGCCGACCATGCCCCCGGATGTATGAAAGAAAATGAGATTAAAAACTATTTTGGTAAAGTTTGTTTTCCCAAAGTTAAAAATAACTGTTATTAAAAATAGTTTTTGTATGAAGTTGTCAGATGCCTTTTCCATTCAATGAATGTTTACCTGAATTAACAGCTTCTTATGTAGGTGGTCCAAGTTTTACCAAAGAACCTGCTTGTTGCCAGTTGTACTGGCCTTTCTCATATAGTTGTCATGGTTCAGAACTGTTCACTAGGTCAGAAAAAAATGTGTAAGCAGCCGGTTTGCTCAGAGAATAGAGCCGAGCCGGGTGATGATATTCTGGCGGTCCCTGGTTCAAGTTCTGGACACGCTGCACATTTTTCTTGCCCTGTGACATTTGGCACCCATTGAGGGAACGTAACTGTTTATAGCTCAGAGTTTAATTAAATTTATTCACATTGCTCTGTACCTCTGTGAAATTTGAGGACAAATATCAATATTGAAACAGGGGACTGAGAGGAGTATAACAAGGTTCAGAACTGAAATATTTAGGGGAGATGATGTGTAAGCGGCCGGATAGTTCAGTCTGTACAGCCACAGTATGGTATTTCGAGGGTTGTACCGCCTCCGAGGTCGAGGGGTTAGAGTCGATGACTTCTAATCCAGTTACCTCTCTGGCGTGGGTTCGATCCCCTGGAGATGCTTTGGTAGTTTAGCACAGCGGAAGGTAGTGTAGTACTGGTGTAACTCTCCAAGAACGATGGTTAGGAAACTACCCGCCTATATGACTGAAATACTGTTTGGAAAAGGTGTAAAATGAAACAAACAAATTTCGAGGGTCCAGGCTGCACATTTTTCTCACCCTGTTACATAGTGATCATTTCATTGATTATTTAAAAGTCATGAAAGATTTAACAAAATAAATTGCATTTTATTATTTTTCTATTTTGGCATTGAAAAGGGCAGTTCTTAACAATAAACACCCTGCAAATGAAGTATTAATAAGGCTGAAAATTGACGTTACAGTCTTGGATGATGACAGCTTGATATCTTTAATACTGTGGTCTTGGGAGAGATAAAAATTGCTTCACATAAAAAGTGTTAATGATAAAAGTGTCAATTGATATTAAAGTGAGATTTTGGCTGCTATTTTTGTCATTTGTAGCATAAAATATTGATAGGATATTAAGTAAATTCTTTTTATTCTTTTATTTACATATAAAAAGAAATATATGAATATCTGTAAAGAATGTTTTAAGTTAAAAAATAACAATCAATTAAAGTATTTGAATTTATTGCTCACAAAATCTATGTTTAATAGAATTGTTTGAACACAAAAAGAAAAAAAAAATAGTGGGGAAAAAAAGACTAACTTATCTACATTTGTTTTAAAGCTTACAAAAAATAGTGAAGTTAAGAATTTTTCTTTGATTTCAGGCAGAAAAGTGGCAGTAGATGCTTCTATGTGTATTTACCAGTTTCTTATTGCCGTAAGACAAGATGGCAGCCAGCTCACAAATGAAGATGGAGAAACCACAAGGTATACTATGGTGTGGAATTTTTAATTTTTTTCCACATGCCCAGGGACAAGTTGGACTAAAATTTCATCTTGTCCGCAGCTCAAGTTAACTTGCCCAAATAAACAATAAAAAAATCAGGCTTGTAATACAATGGCTTGTTTAACCTTGTGTACTAGGGTTTTGCTTGTATTTGGACACAAATGACATGTTTGGACGACATTTGATGCATCAGAGTGTCCTTTCTTGTTAATGATTTCCCTACATAAAAGCCAAGATCGTTTTCGCGGTTTGCAGGAAGTTCAAACTGCAAACATGACAATAAAGTTTGTCCAAATTATTGTCTTAGGAACCAACACTTATCTTTAAACACACAAATGTGTTTGCGGTCATATTCTTTGTCTCTGCACTTTTGTTTTATGCTTTTCATATTCTTTTCAGACCTAACAAAAAATTTATCATGAAATGCATTGTGATACATGCAGTCTGTGCGAAAGTCCGTCGGTCCTCGGTCCTGGCTGAATAAAACTCGTGCGGTCCGAGAAAAATTCCTTTCCGTCAGTCCTCATGTCCGAATAAAATTTCAAATGTGAAAAATATCAATGACCTGATTGATAAGTTCCCGGTGATGCAAAGAATTTATTAAAGAAGATATTGACCAACCTTTGTACATGTCAAATAAATACCAGTCAACTCTGTCTTCAAAAAGTTTCATCAACAACGGTAAATTTTGCCGTAAATTACAGATTTGAAAATTTTGTTTTATGATGCTTGTTAGTTTAAACATAGTTTAAAAATCTTAAAATAATCAAAAAATATTTAATCTAATATAATCAAAATCAACAACAAGTAGAATTGTGAATGTTTCTGCAGGAAACAGACAAATTTTCAATTGTCACATATTTTCGCGATGCCGCTTTTTATAATTAAAAAAATCGTAACCAAAAGGAAACTTTGTTTTGTTTAAATGTGTATAATAACACTTAAATGTAGTTTAAGAATTAAAATTACTAAAGATATTGTTCACATTAGTTGAGATGGAGGTATTTAACCAGTATGTGTTTGTCACATACAATGAATATTTTCTTATGGGAGGGGGCTGTGTGCATTAGCTGTGTGGAGTGAATCTGGAAGAAAACAGCATAATGGTCTAATGATGTAGGGTTTTTGAAATTATATTTCAAATCTTTTCAATCACTTTTACAGTACAGTGTATTCCATTTGGGACATACTACCATTTTCCTGAATAAGCTTTTTCTCTGTTCAAACTCCAACTTTTCAAAACCTAGCTTACTCCACTAATATACATCATATTTGTCAACTGCATAAGTGCAGTAGAGATAGCTAAACATATTCAAAGTGCTCTGTGCTCCTACTTTTCTGTGCTTGGGAGTCCAAGGACTCCTCCTTTCAAAATCCTAGTGAGCACCCTGCTTAATTATTATTAAGTTATTTCAATTGGTCAGGATCTTCTTATGTTTCTATATGGATGGTCTCACTAATTTAAAGAAAGACTATCATTTTTGCATTCAATCGTGTTTATATAAAATAATGCTTGAAATGTCTGGGCCGGAAAAATATCATCCGGGCCGGAAATAAACCTTTGGGTCTCGGTCCTTGTGGCCTGAAAAAAAAATTGACTTTCGCATAGACTGTACATGTATATTGTAAAACATTTTATTGGTGATTAATTATCTTAGTTCCCACACTTTTGCACATCTAGTGTACTAGACCAAATGACCAGACAGAGTGATATACAGTCAAACTTGTATTAAGCGACCGCGCAAGGGAAACACCCAAAACGGTCGCTTAATGAAACGGTCTCTTAAGTAAAAGTCAAAATTTATGAATCATAAAATGACATCTTTCTTTTGCGGTGGGAATGTTTTTCAACTTCATTTATATAAATGTTGAATAATTAGTAAGCTCCGATAATCTAAACGGATGCTTATGCAAAAAATTACTTTCTGATACTTATTGACAAAACAGTTTTGATCCATTATGTACATGTTTGACATTTTTCAAGAATTTTTTTAACTTATCCGTTGTTAATCTTTGTCTCCAACACGTAAACCCTATTAGTGAAAATGCTTTCTGTTGTGCATTTTTTTATTTGAAATAAACAAACTACATCTAATTGTTACGATTAATTTAATAGCTGATCAAGTTCAAGGTCAATTCAATGCAGTCTAAATGTCAGCAAGCGAAGCGTATACACCATCTAAGTAGGAGCGGAGCGTTGCATTGTTTATCCGATTTTATTGGATAATACACGTCACGGGTATACATTACTTCTTTTGCACCTACGCTAAAACGGTTTGGGAAATAGAGTTTTTCACACATTTATTTGTTGTGTTTTGATTGTTGACACTTCTGACATTACGATGCGGCGTTCTCTAAAAACACAATTACTTGACAGGTAAAAGTGGTCGTTTAATGAAAAGACTGATCTCAATTATGTGACTAATTGGCGGTCGCTGGTCGCGTTGAGCAAAAGTCGCTTAATACATTAAAGATATAGAGAGAAAATGATCGGGAGGGATTTAAAGTGGTCGTTTAAGACAAAAGTCGCTTAATACACGTGGTCGCATGGGCAAGTTAGACTGTATCTGATTAGTGATTAATGCATAACAGTGGGTAAACCAGGGTAAAGTGTTGTATTGTTTTAAAAAGATTTCTTTTTAATAATGTAGTAATAGTTTTAAATAGTCAATTTGCAAGGTTAGGTAACATTCTGAGTGTTAGTGTATATTCCAATTTTTTAAGATTTTTCTTTCTAGTGAGTCCACAATACATTTTGAAATTATCACTAATATATAAGTTTAGGAATAATGATTGTAAAACAAATTAACATGTTAAAAAACTAGATGTTTCAGACCTTATTTTAATTTTTTTAAGCCATTTGCATACTAATGGTACCAAAGCACCACATATTTAATCTTGCAACGGGAACTGAGGAATTCTATTGAACTAATTTTTCTTTTAATTCTATTTCAGTCATTTAATGGGAATGTTTTATCGTACAATTCGTATGGTAGAGAATGGTATCAAACCTGTGTATGTATTTGATGGTAAACCACCAGAAATGAAGTCTGGTGAGGTAAGATATCAGTTCATAAAAATATATATATGTTGTTTTTATGCCACCGCAGCATCTGCGATGCGGTGGCATATAGCGATTCACCTGTGTGTGCGTGTGTGTGTGTGTTTGTTTGTTTGTTTGTTTGTGTGTGTGTGTGTTATATAGATTATATAGTGAACTTAAAAAATCTTCTTGTAAAAAACCACTTGTCCAATTTCAACCAAACTTGGCAGGATTGATCCTTGGGTGAAGGGCTTCCAAAGTTGTTCAAAGAATTTTATTCCATGCAGAAATCTGGTTGCCATGGCAACCAAAAGGAATTATAAGAATAAATTTAGAAAATCTTCTTGTAAAGACCCAAAAGGCCTAGAGCTTAGATATTTTGCATAAGGCATTGTATGGTAGACCTCTACCAAGATTATTCAAATTATAGCCCTGGGGTCAAAATCGGCCCCGCCCCAGGGGTCATTGATTTTCACTATATGTACATATAGTAAAAACTTAAAATACCTTTTTGTAAAGACCCAAAAGGCCTAGAGCTTGGATATTTTGCATAAGGCATTGTCTGGAAGACCTCTACCAATATTGTTCAAATTATAGCCCTGGGGTTAAAATCGGCCCCGCCCCGGGGGTCATGGATTTTCACTATATGTACATATAGTAAAAACTTAAAACACCTTTTTGTAAAGACCCAAAAGGCCTAGAGCTTAGATATTTTGCATAAGGCATTGTCTGGTAGACCTCTACCAATATTGTTCAAATTATAGCCCTGGGGTCAAAATCGGCCCTGCCCCGGGGGTCATGGATTTTCACTATATGTACATATTTTCCTCATATTTACATAGTAAAAACTTATAGTAAAAACTTATAGTAAAAACTTTAAAAACATTTCTTCTAGCAATTGACATTGGCTAGAGGTTAGATACTTTGCATGAAACATTGTGAAATGAACCTCTAGCAAGAATGTTCAAATAATAGCCCTGGGGTCATTGATTTTCAATATATACAAATAGAAAAAATTCAAAAAAATCTTATTGTCTGAAGGTACAAGGCTTAAGGCTTTAATATTTGTTAAATGATATCATTTATAGGTACTCAACCAAAGTTGTTCAAATTTTGCCTCCAGTGTCAAAATTAAAAGTGAACTTTGATATCAGCTGACCTAGATTTTGACAAAGTGTATTACATGTTGTCCTTTGATGCAGTCATGAAATTTTAGGCTGTGTGAAATATGACCTTCACCACCAAATTCACTAGACTCGAGTGCATTGAAATATTCCTACTCTGATCTTTTATTGAGTTAACAGTAGATTTAACCACTAGTCTGATAATAAGAATTAGATATGCATTATGACAATCTTTAATTGTATAGAAACAAAAAAAACTGTTCCTACACTACTATTTAGTGTTGTATTAATGCGGTGGCATAGCATTTTTCTCAAATGCAATCTTGTTTTATCCCATTAATATTTCCTGTCATTTCATTGTTTTGGGTAAAAGGTATGCCAAAATGTTTGACATTTTTGGTGGAGTTCAAAGTCAGACACAGTTATTGACTTACTTAAGCTCCTTGCAATAATGCATATCGTAATACCTGTACTCACTCACAGGGGAGCAGTGCCCTAGTGGTAAAGGTGTCTGCCTGTCAACCCGATGATCATTGGTTCAAGCCCTAATCGGGTCACAGCCATGTTTCTTTAATGACACCAGTAGTACTGGTTGGTTGCAGGAAGCAGACTCGAAAGCGATTAATATAAGTTGCAAGAACTTATTTCGCAATTTAGCTTAAAGAAATATGTTTAAACCAAGCTCCTTGCATTTGATTTCAATTCATACAATATGGAAGAACCAGTGTAAACTTGATGACATATTTGATCTATTGAGTTTCTGAATTAAGCAGAGTTAAGGATAAAATTTTAAACTTACAGTAATGGTAGCCCTTGTTAAAAAGAACCCTACTTAACTACAAGACATGATCAGATTCAAAGTTAAGACATAAACACTGTACAAGGTGTGTTCAAGCCTTGATAATGAATTGCTTTTGGAATAAACAAGTATTTTTGAAATGAAATGTTGGTTTTAAAGCTGTATAATTGAAAAAAAGAAGAAAAAGAACATTTTCAGGTCTTTATAATAATTTGTGCCTTGATTGCATTGTTAACCATTTAATTTCAGACTTACAACTTTAAAAGTTTTAATATCTTAAGTAAAAGTATTAAAAAGTATGATGTATAATTTACAGCTTGAAAAGAGAAAGGAAAGACGTGATGAGGCACAGAAAGCTTTAGAGAAGGCTGAAGAAGCAGGTAGATACCTCTTTATGTTAACTTTTTAACTTGACTCTGAATTTGTGTTGTGGTTTAGTTTTCATTTCACGTACAGACTCATTTGTCAGCTTCAGATTTGTAAATCATTGATTGATTGTTTGTTGGATTTTAAGTCACACTGGCACTGTAATGGTCCAACGATGATTTTCCAACTGTATTGGTGGAGCCCATCCATGCATTATTTCAGGCATAAGTTAGATACTTAGTATGACCATCGATCTTCTGTAAGCTACATGTAGCTGGATAGCTAGCTAGCAACTTATGGTAAAGTTTAGAAATCCTTTAGCATCTTCATTCTTATAGGAAAAGATGAGGGTATTATTTGTTGTTTAAAAGATTCTCCACAATGCTTCCTTACATATTTGCATAAAGTCTCTAAGATGTCTTTAAAGTTCAGATTAGTTTAGCTGTTACTATGTTTCATCTATGAAAAGATATTGTTAATGGTAACAGGTGATGCTGAGAATATTGAGAAATTTAACAGAAGACTTGTGAAGGTAACAAAACAACATAATGAAGAGTGTAAGGAACTCCTCAAGTTGATGGGCATCCCCTATGTAGATGTAAGTTATGTTTTAGCTATTCACTTCATACTTGGTAAACATGTTTACCCCATTTCAAAATGGCAGATAAGCCTCAAATTATTCACTGCTAAGTAAAGCCCCTTCAAATTACTGAGCATGTCTTGAGAGAAATATAAAAAGCATTGTATTGTATTATCACACATCGTCTGATACCCAGGGCCGAACCATTAACAATTATCAGCTGTGGGATTTTTGTCCAGTTGATTAGAGGTGTGTCAAATGCAATTATTTCATTGGTTGCCTCTTGATTTCATGAGGTGATTAAAACCAATCAAAATGCTCGTTCTATACAACATTGCGATAATAAACTGAATTCAGCTGTGAAAAGTTCAATATTAAAAAAGTGAACAAATTCCAGCAAAAACAAAAATTACTAATAACAGACAAAATTGCGGTTACCAAATAAATTCAGCTGTGAAAAGTTCAATATGAAAAATATGAACGATATCCAGCAAAAACAAAAATTACTGTTACTGATAGTTTTTACCTCCACCATTTAAGAACATACATTTTATTAAAAGCAATTTTATTGGTCAATATTTTACGCACCTGTTGCTTTATATTGATGCAAATTGATTCATTTTACCCACGGTTAGATGTCTTGTTAATCAACTGTAGGTATCCGGAGATGATTATCACAATGAACCTAGAATTATATAATCTAATGTATGTAGATTTTGTATACATGTAATAATGTGATATGATTGTTGTTTGCAGGCTCCCTGTGAGGCTGAAGCTCAATGTGCTGCTCTGGTAAAGGCTGGCAAGGTGTGGGCAACAGGTACAGAGGATATGGACTCCCTGACTTTTGGTTCTGATGTTGTCCTAAGACATCTCACATTCAGTGAAGCAAGGTAAAGAAATTAATATAACCATCACTTGTATACACAGTAGTCATCTTTTTAGCTCACCTGAGCACAACTTTTTAGAGCTTTGATATTTAGGTATAATATCATCTATAAATTCTTTTACCAAAGTCGTTCAAAGTTTGCTGCTAGTGTCAAAATTGGCCCTTACACAAATGACTGTCTTCAGGTGAGCGCCAATGGCCCCTTGTATGTAATATACAAGCAAAAAATCCAACACTGGTTTATGTCACTGACAGCATTTTCTATATAGGCCCATTAACCTGAGCGAAACGAGTGACTTTCTTTTGTATTGAGAACGTTACAAAACACATCAGGTAGAAAAAAGTGTCTTCTAATTTACTTTGAAGTATGTAATATCTTTATAAAATTGAAGACTACACCATGCATTTTCTAATAGAGAGTTGTCACATAGTGATAAATGTTTCTGCCTCTCAGTAAAGGGAGCAAGGGTTTGATCCTCATATGACACTTGTACTGGTTAGTTGAGAAAAACAGCGTGTATGTTTTTGTTAAGTTCCTGAAACTATCCCATAATAAATTTTAAAACAGCCTGTATGTTTTTCTTAAGTTCCTAAGACTATTCCATAATACATTTTTTGATGTAAACATTTATCTGAATTTTTGCATTGGAAGACCAGACTAGAAAGGTTGTTGAAGATGTAGCAATTCTTTAAGATTCTGTCTTCCTAGAGAAATAAACAAACAGGGATATCTGGGAATTTTGTCTGTCAATGATATTGTTCTTCGTTCCTCCCTGTACATTTTTAGCTCAGTTATCAGCTACATTTCATGTTGTAACTTTTCATCTTGTTTAACATTTACACAAATGTAGCATGTCTTTACACACTATTGGTGTATAACCTAAATGATGTCACTGCAAAATATATACACGGCCATGCAATACGATTTTTACAGAGTCACAAAATCGACATGTTAATGTGATAAGTAAAAATATTATATAAAAAAAATCTAACACTGGTTGTTGTCACTGACAGCATTTTCTAGATAGAACAATTTAACCTGAAAGAAACGAGTGACTTTCTTTTGTATTGAGAACGTTACAAAAAACATCAGGTAGAAGAAAGTGTCTTCTAATTTACTTTGAAGTATGTAATATCTTTATAAAATTGGAAGACTACACTTTGAATTTTCTTATAGAGAATTGACACCTAGTGATAAATGATTCTCCCTCTCAGTAAAGGGAGCAAGGGTTTGAGCTTCATAATTATGACACTTGTACTGGTTTAATAGTATAGGAACTGGATTGGAAAATGATTTAAACTAATGAAATTCTCAAAGGCTAGTCTTTAATGAAAATTTTTTTTTTACGATAAAGTTTTTTCAGATAAGGTGATAATACCATAGATTGGAAAAAAAATTCAAAAGCAGAAATTATTTTTGAGAAAAACAGCCTGTATGATTTTCTTAAGTTCCTAAGACCTTGATAAATTCTTTAAACATTTGTCAGAATGTTTGCATTGGAAGACCAGACTAGAAAGGTTGTTGAAGATGTAGCAATTCTTTAAGATTCTGTCTTCCTAGAGAAATAAACAAACAGGGATATCTGGGAACTTTGTCTGTCAATGATATTGTTCTTCGTTCCTCCCTGTACATTTTTAGCAAAAGCTCAGTTATCGCCTAAAATTCATGTTGTAACTTTCAACTTGTTTTATGTTTTTCAAAAAATATAGTATAGTACATGTTGAAAGGCAGACTGAGCATCTTTTTCTTTGTGCTAGGTTTTGCTTGGATGAGTTCGAACATGGGTCATCTCTGGTGAAAAACTATATACAGAAGTCAAAAATAGAAAAGTCTTGTTCACATTTTAGTGGTAGTACACTTAACTTTAAAGTCAAAATATAAATGTTACTAGCTGGCTCTGTATTGCTGTCAACACAAAAGTAATTTTGAGTCGTAATCTGGTCAAATTCTTTTGTTTATGGCATGTGAAGATGTTAAAGGAATCATTTTCTACTGGTTATTGCTTTTACAAGGATGAAATAAAGGAGGTAGATCTTGAACACCTAAGAGTAGTCCAATGTGTGTCACATTTGCTACTCATTTGTACAACATATTTAATTAATGATGTTTTCTTGCATATCAGACAGGATTATCTACTGTTTACACCTGTGCTAGAAAAACCTGTCTTACACCCCCCATGTGTTTTGAATGACGTCTGAGCCTTGTACCACTGGAAACAGTTACCCTTCAGCTAAATATTCCGGTCTGTACTGGCATCCAGTGTAAGATTCTTATAATCTATTCTTTTTTTGTTTCCAGGAAGATGCCAATAAAGGAGTATCACTATGATAGAATCTTACAGGGTTTGGAATTGTCTAACGACGAGGTAAAACTTGGATATTGATCATCAGTTGTCATCTATACAGTTTTAATATCAGATATAATGTGGACTATTCCATATTGATTTTTTAACATTTTTTTTCAAATGCTAGGATGGTCATTTTTGATTAATTAGTAATAACTGGTTTGTTATCAAGAAAAACTGGTAAGGTGGACTGCCTGCCAAGGTATGACAATAAATGTGCTTATGATTGAAGTAAAAGCCAGATATATATAAACAATGAAACACTTTGAATTAGAAAGTCATCTATAAAATATCCTGTATTTGAAACATATTCCTCATTTTAAGATATACCAATATAAAGAAGTTATCAAGCTACCTTACAGATGGTTGTTGGTTTTACTGTTGTTTCCTGCTTATGACTGAAATAGCGCACAAAGAGCCTTTGGTTTTCCTCTACCAGTAAAGCTGGAAGGTTTACACATGACAGTCATGTCCTGTGTTTGTGTGACTTCAGACCAAACAAAACAAATTGATGAGAAATACATGTAACATGTTTGTATTACAGTTTATAGATCTGTGTATATTGCTGGGCTGTGATTACTGTGAGTCTATACGTGGAATTGGACCAAAGCGAGCTATAGATCTGATTAAACAATATAAATCTATTGATGAAATAATGAAAAATATAGATCTGAAGGTAAGAGACTGTTGTATATGGTGTTATAGATCAATTTAAATAATATAAATCCAACGATGAAATAATGTAAGATCTAGGTTTAAAGGTAAAAAAAAACAACTTATATTTAATTTTATACAGTGTAACTTCCGAAAACCGAACACCCATGGGACTTGTCAAAAAGTTCGGATTTCAGAGGTTTCCGGAATTCAGAGGTTTATGATAATGTGGACAAGACTAAACCACTTAATATCACTAAATGTCAAGGAAGATGTGGCCATTACTGTAATATCATATATAATAGTATTTTAATCAAGATAAAGATGTGAATGAAAAGAATACATTTTTATCTTACACCTGAAAATGCTTTGGAATTTCTATCAGTTTGTAGAAATGTTGATAATTGCATAAACTTACATATCGTCCGATGCTAGTTAATTAATTATTACATCAAATGCAATAAAATCCCTATAGACGTTTGATGCATACATTGTCCCAACTAATTGTGATTTAATCCGCTAATAAACACTTCAAATTAACTGACCGCGGTAAATTACTTTGATTAACCGCATCACTTCAAACATACCATTTCACAGTTTGTGATTTTAACGCGTGTCAAATTACACGATCACCGCTAATTAGTAAACAATCGATAGGGAGATTAAATCTTCCTGCAGGGTAAACATTCTCGATTTACAATGTATTTCACACCTTTGGATATTTCCGGTTTTCGGAGGTAAAATTGCATTGATTTGACTCTAATTTTACGAAAATATCGTCCGGAATTCAGAATTTAGAAGTTCCGGAATTCAGAAGTATTATATTAATAGAAAATAGAAGGGAAAAAATCGGGACCGAAAAAATTGTTCGGTTTTTAGAAGTTTCCGGATTTCAGAAGTTCCGGAATTCGGAAGTTACACTGTATTGAGAAATATCAGATGCACAGTAGTAAGGTTACTATAATTGCAGAATACAAATAATTTTAGAAATATTGTTAAGAAATACTTATCAGCTTGTCCATTTCAAAGAAAAAGTTGAACTATTATGATTGCTGCAGCGTAGTTGCTGTACAAAAACTTTGATGTAGCCCATTATTGTAACATTTCAAAGGTATTAGCATGAAACTTGAAATGCTTGTGAAAACAAAGGGGGCGTTGTTAGACAAGGGACATAATTCTGAAATCAATAGTTTTGAAGTTATGCCCCTTTTAACTTAATTGCCCAAGATTTGAATAATTAACATAATGTTGCATAAGATAGTCTTTTGATAAAAGTTTGAATGTTCTTTCTAACATAAATATGTTTTGTTTTTAACCTTTATCAGAAATACACAATACCTGAGAATTGGATGTACAAAGAAGCTCGTGAACTATTCAAAAATCCAGAAGTTGCTACAGCCGAGGAAGTAGAGGTAAGTACTGACCATTTGATTGGGGGGGGGGGGGATGCAGTTTAACCCTTAACCTGCCTGGAACCGAAAATTATCAGCCCCTTTACAACCAGTATTGAGTCAGGCCAGCCTGCACATCTGTACAGTCTGACCATACTCTATACATTTAGTCTAAGAGTATAGAGCCTGGTCAGACTATAATAGTAGCTCTATATTTGTATTTGGTCTATCAAAACCTTTACATTAAAAATGGATTATTCCAAATTGAAAGCAGAACTAGTCAATTACACTAATGCAGTAGATTATGGGTGAAGCTGTTGAGCAGTTGGAGTTGATCATGACAGACCTGTACATTAAAAGCAGGCTATATACTGATGTTTGGACAACTTCAATACTTTGATTGTTTGATTGCTACTAAAATCACTGAATAACTTCCGGATGGACAGGTCTGAATTCAAGGCAGGATTAGTCTATTACATAATTATGACAGGGTAAGGCATCTGTTGTTAAGCAAGCCAATACTGAGTTCTACCATTATCCAAAGCAAAAGGAAGCATACATATTCAGTTTATAATATACGCAGAAGGGCACCTGAGGTCTTCCTCCACCAGTGAAGCTGGAACATCGCCATATGACCTATTATGTGTCGGTGTGACGTAAAACCAAATTAAACAAACAAACAAATAAACATATTCAATTTGGAGTTCATTAAAGAATAATATAATAAAAATAAATTCTTCTATAATTGTGCACAATTTTGTGATTTTTTTTTTATTGATTTTTTTCCCTCCACAATTGTGACAAAAACTGCCCTGCTAAGCAATCCTGGGATACACTCTAAATGGACATTGAAATTTATATTTTTATGATATATAATTAATACAAGATGAATGTCATTTCTTTATTTGGATTAGAAGTTATATGACTTTAATAGGTTTTATATTTGTTGTAATAATGATTTATAAAATATGTTTTTAGCTGAAGTGGTCAGAGCCAAAAGAAGAAGAACTTATAGATTACATGGTCAATAAGAAAGGATTCAAGTATGTTTCACTTTGTTATTTCTGTTTTGAAGAAAAAAAATTGAGATATTATGATTGCTATGTTCTAGTTGTTGTCCTTGTTGTTTTTGTCTTGCAAGAACATTTATGTAGCTCATTACTCGAACGTTTACAAAGGTATCAACACAAAATTTGGAACGCTTATCATGACTAGGCACAGTTTTAATACTATGGACATATTCCTGAAAGCCATATATTTTAAGATTTATATCCATTTCTATATCAACTATTGGAGAGCTTTTGTACCCATCACAGTATCAGCATTGCAAATTGGTGTCTACAAAACTACTGAAGGGTTGGGTTGAAACTTTAAACACAGCATACTAGGTCACTGTCCAAGGCCCATAAGTCTGAAATTTTGAAATTAAGAAAATGCTACATTATCCAGGCTTGTTTTACTATCAAGCACTGAGAATAGTCAAGCATGTTGTCTTACCAACAGCTTTTATTAACTTGGAATATTTATAAAAATTGGTTATTGATAGTCTTTGCCCTTAGTAGACAAGCGTTATCACTGCATGTAGTTCTCTTACGTAAAAACAATCTTCTGTTTGATAATCTATTCTTTCATTAAGTTTAAGCTAATAAGTGTTCATTTCATGAGATTTCCTGCAAAAATTTAAGTATAAAATTGAAAATTTGCTGGTATTGAAAATGTCATTTGTAGAAGATAATAATTGAAATACTTTATTATGTTCATTGACTCAATGTCAATTTTGATCAAGTCGAAACTTGCATTAATTTATTCAGTTTTAATTTATCAATTAATTCCTGATAGTATCTATGGTACTAGGTACTAGCAAGTATTTAGGAATTAAGACCTACAGTTAAACTTCGTTCGCTCGAACTCGGATCGCACGAATACCTCCCTTCGCTCGAACTCATCGCCCAGTCCCCGCAAAATTCCTATATAATATATATTGTTCTACCTCGGATCGCTCGAACACCGAACTCTCGAACCTGATCTCTGGTCTCTTCAGCAGAAATATAGTGAAAATCACACCTTTTCGGTCAAACACAAAAAGACAAGTCAGTATGTCCTAAATAAATGACAGTCGGTGACGCATGTTTTTAACACCTCGTGATCGTGACAAAGGTAGATACAAAAAGAGTTGTTGTAACCGATTTATTTGTATGATAATATTGTTGATTTGCCGTTTATGGTAACGATAAAAAGAAAATAACTTGTGAAATAAGTGAAATATGCATGCCAATAAAGAATGACGTTACCCGGACGGCTTTAATTACAACCGTGGTTCATGTAAAGTGAATCGTAACAGTGTTATCTATTTATAGAATGATACTTGTATGTGTGTTTATTTTAGTAAATGACTACAAATAGATGATGCTGTAAATGTTTTTAATAAATATTTCATTAATTTTTTTTTTTAATTAAATTCATCCCATTATAAACATATAAATATATTTTATACATTGTTCAACAAGTTTGGTGTGATTGCCCAATCGAACTCTACCAATTACAATATGCCTGAATATAGATAAACACAGTGTACCGTTAATACTTAATTTAAACACTGGGATAATAATTCTGAGTATGAAATATTGGACGAACAGATAAACTAACAAATGATTATATTGACGCATTTATCATTCAAAGGATGTAAGCTAGGAAAACCTTTAGGCATATGATCAACGTAATAATAGTTCAACCTCGATTGGCTCGAACTACCGATCTCTCGAACAAATTTGCACAGGCTCTCCGAGTTCGAGCGAACGAAGTTCGACTGTATTTACATGTAAGGAATAAACCTGAAAAAAAAAAACCTGCAGAGATTTACCCAAATCTGGTATCATTTACATTACAGTGAGGACAGAATACGTAATGGGTTAAAGAAACTGTCTAAAGCCCGTACTGGCAGTACACAAGGAAGACTTGACGGGTTCTTTAAAGTACTTTCAACGACATCAACAACTCCTAAACGAAAGGTAAAAAAAACCTTGTTGGAATTATGTAAGAATCTATTCTACTGTTAATACGGTGAATGTATGTCCTGGCTAAAGGCAGGTCAGACTAGTCATCTAAGGATTGTGTGGGTTCAAACCCCATCAGGGGCAAGACGTTGCTAACTTGGGCAAGAAACTTTACAGTTATTGGTTAGTTCCAGGAACGGATTCCAGAGTGTTTCAATAAACTTAGTTTCCAACGCAATCAAATGAAAATAAATTTGCATAAACTAAAAGAATATAACTCTGTAAGCAGGCTGTCTGTTACACTGGCTTTGACATAATGTTAATCAGAATTAATTATATTTATAGGCAGAGGATTCCAAAGGTTCAGCCAAGAAGAAGGCTAAGGGAGGCTTCAAAAGGCCAAAATGATTGCAGGACCTGATAAATTCCGGGAAAATGAAAATTGGAGAGATGAAATAGTTTCAGCATCATTCAACAATACTCTCATTTTTGTGTTGATTTAGTTGCTCATTTAAGTAGCTTAATGTCTAAGAAATAACTTTTCCTCTTTCAACCATAGATGATATTCTGAAGTAAAATGTTATAAATTTTTAATAAATGCGTTTGTTGAATATACATGTATGTTGAGAGTTTGATAGTTATTTATTTAACTAATGTATTTTGCAATGTCGATTAAATGAAGCACCAAAATTTATTAATGGCTTAAAGTTATATACCTCCTTCAACAATCATGAATATAGTAATAAGTACATATCCTATGATACAAGTAATATAGCCTGGATGATTCAATAGAAGATTTTTTTTGTTCTAGCAAGTAATGACCACCTAGCTAGATAGTTAAACACTAGTTCATTAATTGTTGTTGTAGTATCAAGAGTTTAATGCATGCATGAAATAAAAGGCCAATATTAAAGTATATTTATGTGAATCTCGATGCATTTAAATCATATATGTCTATGAAGCAAGATAGAAGAATTAAATGAATTATTGGTGGTGTATTATTTGTCAATTCTTGTTCATTTAGAAATAAATTTTTACAAGCAACGTTTTTGAGATTATATTAGCCCCTTATATTTAAGTATCGTCCATATTCTATAGTATATATATTAAGAAAAAAATACTGTATTTTTTGTGAAGTAGGCTCATATGGGACAGGACTTTAAATATCAACTTAGTCTATAGGCATACTTGAAGGTCGTAACAGGCTATATGACCCTATATAAACGGTTGTTTGTAAATATAACCCGAGCCGCAATATTGAATTAACGACTTTATAGTACAGCAATCTTCCTTTTTCAAAGGAAAACATGAAAATCCTTGATAATTTCACAGCAAATTAAAATGTATGGATCAGAATTAATGCATTTATTCTATCTTGCTTGATGACATTGGAACTTGCATTATGCTTAATTCCATCTTGCTTGATGACATTGGAACTTGCATTATGCTTGATTCCATCTTGCTTGATGACTTTGGAACTTGCATTATGCTTAATTCCATCTTGCTACATGACATCAGAACTTGCATTATGATTGATTCCATCTTGCTTTATGTTATTTAAACGTTGCATTATTCTGGATTCCATTTTTCATTATTTCATTCAAACATTTCGTAGTGACCAATTCTTTCATTGAGTGATATCTATTAAACTGGAACAAGCCATTTGGAATACTAAAATGTTAACGTCTTATAAATACCTTTATGTATAAGCTACCTTTCTTCATGCTCTATACAAACCATTTACGGTTTAGTTTTTTTTTTTGTATTACTTTTATGTAGAAGTCATTTAAAATTGACTATTTTTTGTTCCCTGATGGATTTTGTTAAAATGTGACTTATTTGATTTATAGCACGCATGGCGTGATTATGTCTCCCCCACCTCGGGGGGAGACATATTGTTTTTGCCCTGTCCGTCCGTCAGTCCGTCCGTCCGTCCATTCTTCGTTTCCGGACGATAACTAGAGTTCCTTTTGACCTACAGCCCTCAAACTTCATAGGATGATTGGTCTTATAGAGCTGATGATCCCTATTGTTTTTGGGGTCAGTAGGTCAAAGGTCAAGGTCACACTGGACCGTTGGTCAATTTCTCGTTTCCGGATGATAACTAGAGTTCCTTTAGACCTACAGACCCTCAAACTTCATAGGATGATTGGTCTTATTGAGCAGATGATCCTATTGTTTTTGGGGTCAGTAGTTTTCAAAGGTCAAGGTCACAGTGACCGTTGGTCAATTTCTCGTTTCCGGATGATAACTAGAGTTCCTTTTGACCTACAACCCTCAAACTTCATAGGATGATTGGTCTTATAGAGCTGATGATCCCTATTGTTTTTGGGGTCAGTAGGTCAAAGGTCAAGGTCACACTGACCGTTGGTCAATTTCTCGTTTCCGGATGATAACTAGAGTTCCTTTAGACCTACAGACCTCAAACTTCATAGGATGATTGGTCTTATTGAGCAGATGATCCCTATTGTTTTTGGGGTCAGTAGTTCAAAGGTCAAGGTCACAGTGACCGTTGGTCAATTTCTCGTTTCCGGATGATAACTAGAGTTCCTTTTGACCTACAGCCCTCAAACTTCATAGGATGATTGGTCTTATAGAGCAGATGATCCCTATTGTTTTTGGGGTCAGTAGGTCAAAGGTCAAGGTCACAGTGACCGTTGGTCAATTTCTCGTTTCCGGATGATAACTAGAGTTCCTTTTGACCTACAGCCCTCAAACTTCATAGGATGATTGGTCTTATAGAGCAGATGATCCCTATTGTTTTTGGGGTCAGTAGGTCAAAGGTCACAGTGCAGTGGGGGAGACATGCGCTTTTTTACAAAAGCATCCTCTAGTTACTATTAGCTTTCGCTTATATCCATTATTCAGTGTTTATGCTTAATAAAGCTCGGTGTCTGAGGCTTTGTGGATAATGTTTGATCATCTTACATTATGATAAACAATTTAAGCAATGTCTAGCGATTTGTGAACTGTTAAGGGGCGAGAACTCTGTTATCGATATCAACGGATTTTTTCCATGATTCGCCTATCATCGGAATTTTCCGTACATGTATATATTACGGAATACCGTTAGGGCCATCGTGGATATACGTTAAAATACAGAGGGCGACAATGCTATAAATACGTACCAAGCGCTTAATAAATAAATTGCCGTCAAAAGAATATAAATACAAGTAGTAAGGATTATGCAATATAATTTTATACATGTATATGTATACAGTCTAATAGAAAAACTATGCTCGTAACAGTTATTCAATGGGGCAGTTTATACGTACAGTGGCGGATTCAGGCCTTGGCTTAAGGGCTGCACCTACCCCAAAGATACGTTGATGAGCTGGGATGGAATATATACGTGTAAATTTCATGCAATAGTGGTCATAGTGTACTCCTTATCAAAACATATAATGCTGTCATCCAGTTGTTAAGCACCTGCCTACGATTGCGAAGGTCTTTATCTAATGACTTGGACATTGAAAAGCAAAACTTAATAATTGGCCTTTTAACTTAATAAATGTCTCAGTCACTAATAGTGGCGAATAGGTATGTAACACATTAAAATATACATGTATAATAAGGAAAGAAGGAAGTTGTTTATTTTTGTGACATGTGCATAATCAATTACAAATGTTGGGCAAATGTGTGTCTGATTATAGATCAGACATCCCGCACACACCACCACATTCACATACATTTGTGCTTAAAGATATACTATGCACATCTTTCAGTAATATATTTTTATCACAGAAATTTATTGAAATCTATAAAATGCTTACTAAATATGTTTTATTTAAATAAAAACACATACCCATAATGTATAGGAATCTGCTTTCCTTATTACGGGTCAAGTAAAGTTGTGCCTGTCTTTAAACGAAACTTCCATATATATTTTTGTTATAACACTATACATGAATATTCATACTGCCCAATTACAGTGTAAAGTATTTAAAGCACAATATTTGTGTGAAGCCAAATTATATTTATTTTATTTTACAAAAAAAAAAAAAAATCAAGTTTGTACTGTACTAAGTCGTGGCCACGAGTTACTAAGTGACATGTGTGTGTTTTTATTTATCTCTTTAGTTATAGCCCTTTGTTGGGACAATTCTATGATAGAATTTGTCATTTTGTACGTACAAAGGCCTGTTAACATTGGTTATACCATAACTTGAGAGGGACTTAGTCCTGGTTTATTTTATTGGGAAGAGACATTGCCCATGGACAGTAGATATCCTATAAGGATGTTTGAGGTCACAGGTCAGATAAATGCAAAATCCTTGTGTCTGATGAATGATTTAGAAAGAATAAGCCGTAGTTTATATAACCTAAAAAGATCAGTAGATGACACCTAATAATTTTTAGGCAATTTGGTCAGAAATCAGGGTCACAATGACGCTTTATGTAAAATCATCGACCAATCAATAACTTGTATAAATGACACTTTTAAGTAGGGGCATCCTTGTTAGGAAAATTCATATAAATAGTGTAATTTGATTGGTTATTTATCTCGTTCGCACGACTTAACTTTTTCGTGGCCACGACTAAACTTTCTCGTGGCCACGACATAGTAACTTGTTCCAACGACTTATTTATCTCGTGGCCTAAACTTAGTAACTCGTGGCCACGACTAAGTTATCTCGTTCCCACGACTTAATTACCTCGTGGCCACGATTTAGTAACTCGTGGCCACAACATAGTATCTCGTTCCCACGACTTAACTATCTCGTGGCCACGACTTAGTAACCCGTGGCCACGACACAGTATCTCGTGCGCACGAGATAAATAAAAACACACACATGTCACCTTCGTGCCACCTTAAGTTTGATAAAATTCAATTTCACTTATCACAGACGCCCAAAAAGAAGTGCAAACAATTGTATAAGAGGTGAGTTGCCACTTGTAGGATGAGTTATTAGAGACATATATAACTTTTTTTCCACATGCTGGCGGAATCTTCAAAAACACGCACTTTTCGTCTGTCGCATCGTGTTCTCTTGTTTTTTAGTAAATTTACATGTCAGTCCCCAACTAACACTGTTCTGTATACGCCCCTATATAAAGTGGACGTAACTTTGTTTACTCCACGTGCCAAAATACGGGATAATCCGGAAAATAACGGGATGTACCGACAAAGCGACACCTGCTGTCATAATATGAACACAAATTATTGCAACTCGCATTATGCTTACTGCCAACTGCTTAGTGCGTACTGTCACATGCGACTATAATATCGCTATCGTTGTCATCTTCGTTGTCGATGCGCAGTGATTATGTATTGCATTATATTTGTAATCAGTGAATATATTGAAGTATATGAATGCTAAGACACATCAAATCAGCCAATTATTGATCAAAATGAATAGTTTAATTTGACATAATGTCGACAATATAAGTGGCAGATTTATAGCAAATTAAAGATACAACTACCATGTTACAAAGTTATAAAGAATGTTATCTTAAACACCAAACATAATACGTTGTCCTTAAAAAAAAGATGCAATTAAACATATAGCATATTAAAATATGTGAGTTTGATGGTTTAGTAGGGAACACACAAGGTTCAATTACATGAAAGTGCATTCAGTAATCATAAGGCATGATTAAATTCAGCAAAACGCAGGTTTTCATTGTCGTAAAGAAGTATAGAAGCAAGCATAATGTAAGTTCCGATATCATAAAACAAGATGGAATAAATGCATTAATTCTGTTCCATAAAAATGTGCGATTTCCGGTTCTGTAATTGTGATCGCACAATTGGGAGAAAATCAAAGTGGATGGTTTTGTTTTATGATGATTTCTAAAATTTCTGTAAATCATTTTTTCCGAAACCAAAAACGTATTTTACATGTCATCTGTTATAAGGTGTTTTTGAGTTTCTCAATTAAATAGAATGCATTCCGAGATAGATTTATATAAAATTAGAACTTTTATAATTAGAACTTTTATAACTGGTTTAAACATAATCATTTAAGCCCGATTGTGAAACAAGTTCTTGGAGTCCGCTTGCTGGAATCAACCAGTACTGGTGTCATGAAGAAACATGGTTGTGTTCCGATTAGGGCTCGAACCTATGATCCACAGTTTGAGAGGTAGACACCTTACACTAGGTCATCGCTTCTCTATTGTCTGATGCTGCAGATGTGCGCATGGTGTTTCAAGTGTGCACCCTGTCTTATTTTAAGTAAGTTTAAAATGCAGTTAACTATATATATAATATATGTGCAGATAATCCTTGTTTCATGAATACCTGATAGTGGGTTGTGTTACTCTACATAACTTATAGTACATTTTTAAAGGAGGTCGTATTTTACATTTTTTTTTTGGTTTTTGACACATTTAAGATGTGCACAGGGTTTTTTTTTATCAATCTGGTAATATTTTTTCTTCCCAGGTCCGATACTCGTGCCTGTGGCCGAGAGGTTGTCTTTAATGGCCGAGTCTCACAAAATATCCCTGCGTGACCGTATAGAGGCGACTAACTGGGTTCAAACAACTGGAGTCTATGCATCTTTAAAGCTCAAACAGATGAGGGGTTTTGGCCCTTGGTGTTGCTTTTAAGTTTGTAACACCCGAGGAATACCAAAATTATCGTTCCTGTTTCGGCGCCATCTAACCGGGCGAATAGCGATTACCATGTCTGATGGACTCTTCATATTGGGATAATTTTGGATTTTACAAAATTGACGAATAATAATACTTTTTTTTGTAGAAGAATCTATTTAATATTTCACGGCCGTAACATCACAAAACAACTTAATTTTGTTATGATAGGCAAACTTCATTTACTTTATAAATCAAAAAATAAAAGTTCATATTAACATCAAGCATTCTGTTGCCAAATACATGTATTCTCAAATTTATAGTTTGCATAATAATAAATTAAAAATAAGGTATTACATAGTTGCTATATGTAGTTTAGGGCTAAATCAAAAATGCAATGTTAATCCAACACATCAGCAATGTTTTGTATACTTGTATAGCGTTGATGTCAATACATTAATTATCTATGAAATAAAGATTAACTCGATCATGGGTATGCATAAACCATGTAAAATAAGTTATCACCACTCAAGAACAAATTTTTTTTGACACATGTAGATCTATATGCTCAATTATCATTACAAATATAAACGTACAGTGCGACTTTCCATCTCAAGTTCACGTATAAAACAAGTTTTAAGTCTGGCTTGTTGCCTAGGGTAATTGACATGTACCGGTCATTCACATAGGTCCAATAGGTCCGGCGTCTACAAAGTCACAAAGAGGAGTGTATTGAACATCTGCACCGTAACCAAATGCTTGTGGACCAACGAATTTCAAGGCCTGCTCTGAACTAATGGTTGGTGACGCTCGCATAGCAACAACAGCAACACGGATACCAAATCTTAGCTCTTCCGTTTGAATGGGCTGTGCCGTATCTGCATCCATCAGCGTGATCAAATCTGGGACACATGCAAGCAGCTTATGATTTCCTTCGCTGACTTCTCTTGCAATAAGAAATTCGTTTTGAAATTCTATATTAATCGTTTTGCCAGCATACTGGTCAAGACCAGTAATAACAAATTTGCCCTTGTTGAAACCACCTGTTGTTTCCCTTAAAACGTCAGAAATTTTACCATAGACGAGAATTTTCCCGTGTTCTAATTTCACGACTTCATCAACAGGTGAAGTATTTTCAGTGCGAGCTCGTAAGATAGTATCCCCAATGCGCCATGCATGACTTGTACTATGCAGAACTGTTGACGACAAGACTCGATCTTTGTTAAAATGCGACAAAACTGTTCCTCCACTACATCCCATATTGATAACAACCTTTCGAAAATGATTTTCTACACTTTTTGGAGAGTCAGCATACAAAATTGCTGCATGCCGACCTTTGTCGTCTGCCAACGTTGCTGGGTAAGGGTTGTTTCCATATATAAATGGTGTAAACATCTGCAGTTCTGGAAAAGCTCGACCCATTCCATCGCAGTCTAGTACTGGGAGGTCCAAGGCTGCACCTACGACTAAAGGTTCCATACCGTTCATTCCACCGATTTCGCCACTCATCAATGCGCTTAATCTCTTGTCTCCCATGCTCAACTGTTCCCCAGCAGTCACTTTGTAATCATCAATATATGTAACATGTTCCTCTTTTACTATATCCACCCCATCTTTGTTGGTAAGGTCTCCATCTTTATAACCACCGACACAATATAAATCCTGTAAACATGCCAACGCACCAGTTGTTTCATTTCCGGCTACAAGTTTCTCATACACCGCAACTGGAGCCCCCATAAACGCTACAGAACATACTAAATCATTTTCTGGGTGAGCATTTTGGTAAAACCTGGAAGGTGTAAGTACACGGATTTTCTTCCCACTGCGTAATGATCTCAGTGCTAAAAGACGTCCAAGATGAGGACTTCCTCCGCCACCACAGCCTAAAATTCCTGCTCCAATATGAATGCATTCAATGTCGTACTCAGATAGTAGCCATTCCCCGGTGTCTTTGTCAATTGTTGGCGTTTCTATCTTTAGTTTGTTGCTATCCTCAGATAGAATAACGCCCGTATTTGTGATTGTTTGCTTTTTTGTCTGCAAACCCGTTTGTGGCGGTCTCTGATTGTAAAACGATTCTGGAACCACGAATTTATCTGAATCCGACCCAATCTTCAGATCTCCAACAACTTTCAATTTTATTCTAGTTGCATTTCCAGGAATGTATGACAAACTAATATCATCTTTTTCCACAAGGCAAATGGAATTTGAATCTGCCCCTGATGCAATAGTTTCTTGTTTCGCAAGTTCCAGTAATTCTTGCATGGCTTTTTCGCGCGCACTTTGAAAGAAAGTCTTTCTCACTTTTTCTATTATCGCTGATTTCTCCTCAGAAGTTTCAGAACATTCTATAAGCTTACATGAAACTTGGTGGTTCATTTCATCCGTATCAAAATATTTTTCCAGGTCAACAACTCGGTCTTTGGTTGTTGAGATCTGACTTAAGGCCGCACCTATGGCATTAGCAACATCAAAATATTCTGGGCGAAAAATGTCTGATATGCCATCAAACTTCCAGCTTCTGTCGACGATAATGCTTCCGCCCCCAACAAGAATTAACGGCAAATTTCTATCGTTGAATCTCATCTGGTCAACGCATACTGTGATCATACTTTTTATTTTATCAACAGCCACGTTTATTTCCTCTTTATTTAAATGCTTAACATTACTTATAAGACCGACATTAGCGATCCCTGAGGCAACAGCAACATCAGTTGCTGTCAAAACTCGATCACCAATTTCACCTGGCTGAGCAAAGACAAATGCTTCTCTATCAATACAATAACCAGCACTTTGTGGACCAACAACGATTTGATCTTGACCTTTCACCTTCACATGCGTAACGTATGATCCTCCTCCTAAACCGATGCTTATGACGTCAGGCATACGGAAATTTGTTCTTATACCGCCTACTTTCACCTCGGTAGATGCTTCCCTTGCAAATCCTTTAAGTAAAACGCCAACATCGGTACTCGTTCCGCCAATATCGATTACGATTGCCTCTTTCAAGCCGGTCAAAAATGCAGCACCACGCATGCTATTTGTAGCACCGGAAGCAAAGGAAAAGACTGGGTAACGAAGCGCTTTCTCTTCCTCCAAAATCGTACCGTCATTCTGAGTAAGGTACAGCGGACATTTCAAACCTAAATCATCTAGAGCTGAACGAAATCCCTTGATTGTCCTAAGGCAAAGCGGTTTAATACACTCATTTAGAATTGTAGCATTTTCCCGCTCTAACATTCCTATTTTTCCAATTTCATGACTTGAAGTAACGCTTGCTTCAGGAAAACGTTTCCGAATAAAGTCGACCACTCGACGTTCCTGTTCATCTCTAACAGGTGAAAAGATGCCGGATACTGCAATGTTCTTTTCACCGTTACTTTTCAATATATCAACACAATTTTCAAGCTCTTTTTCGTTTATCTCCGTTATTTCTGTACCATCAAATTGGTATCCTCCGTTCAACAAGAATACACTACCTCTGATTTTACTGGCCAATTTTTCAGGAAAATCGCAGAAAGGAGGCAATTTTCGCGAAGCAGTGCCACACAGACGAATAACAGCTACCTTTGCTAAATGTTTACCTTCTACAACCGCATTTATAAAATGGGTAGTCCCAATGTTAACTTGTTGCACGGATAAAGTACGGTTTTTCTTCCGTGAGTTCAAAAGTCCGAGATGAATTGCTGCTTTAACACCGGTGGTAACATCTGCCGTTGTCAGAGTTTTCGCATGTGAAAGGACTGTCAATTTGTCTGTACCTCTATCTATGACAACGGCATCAGTATTTGTTCCACCAACATCCACACCGATCACAGTTCGCGTAACAGCCATATTTGTGAAGACGCTCGTAAGTAAAGTTAAACATGTATTATTTCGTTATTCAGGCGTGTATCCGTGTAGCCTAATGTTCTAGTTCAATGCTCACCAGATCAGTTTTCCCGATTTCAGTTTAAAATGTCAAGGTTAAATAGCCTACTTTACGACCTAGGTCACGCGCAGATATACCTTATTTATTAAGCGTCATATACATGTATATGCTTAAGTGGATGTAGATTAGCTCCAGCTTGAGTTAAAAAAATATCCGCGCAACTATATCATTATTCAACTTAGATCTAATAGTGTTGTAGAAATTTTATTATATTATCTACTAATATAAAATCGTATACCGGTATTACTTCCTTCTTTTACTAATTAACAGTTCCATGCAAACGTGCCTGCTACAGAGTAGCCCGGGGTTCTATGATATCAAGGTACTTAACGTTTATCGGAAAATATTTAAATATAAATATCATAAATGAATGAGATTTTTCTTCCATCTTATAATTGAACCTTTTCCAGAACTGTTTGTCATAAAATTATTTCAAAAGAACCAATAAAAATGACATTTTTTAGAATATTTTCAATGCCTGCCATTTTGGGTCATTTCAGAGGAGGTTACTACGGTATCAAGGTAATCCCCAAAAAAGCAGATATGGAAGAATTGATGGGTCAAAACTTTCAAGTTAAGTTGTGAAAAACTTCCAACAGTTAACTTGCTATAAAATTAAAACTATATGAACAGACTATATGTCAGTATATGTGTTTATAACATATTTTAATTGACTGTGTAAAAACCACTAAGGAAAATGGTAGTCAAATATAAAGGTTTTATAAAATAGTTTTCTTGCCACAAATACATTCATTATTCACCAAATTAAATTTATTGGCAGATGAAAATGAATCTAGTGAGCAAGTTTTACAAATATTAGCATCACCATGTGTTGCTTTTACTAGCAGTCACAGAAAATTTAAATACCTTGATATCATAGAACCCTTGATATCATAGGAACCGAGTATAATGACTTGATTGCATTATAAGTATTATCTCTGATTCGTATTATTAGCTTTCTTTATCTATGTACTATTATTAGTAGTTCTAGCAATTAATAATATATGCAAGTTTATTTGGGACAGATCTAAAATGTCATGTAAGCCTACTTTTTGGTGAATCAGTTCGACTATTTTATTTTACTTTAGTATGATGCACATGAACATGTAAAATAGGTTTACTTTCAATCTTACTAGGTTTATTATGAGGTTATTATATTTATAGTACATTAATTGTACTCTTAGGTACAAAAACTCGGGATCACGGGAATGGAAGTGTTACGCGAAAAAGTGAGTTCTACTGATAACTTTACATCGATGAGAAAGGCGAATAGTATCATACGTAGGTCCATCAGCGGTTTAGTAAAAAGCGGAATTTCATCATGGTCACGTTTTGTAAACTTCGTCTGCAAATTGATTACATATCTCACGAGGGCCTTAAATTAAAACCCACGCACGCTCACTCAAGGTAAATACAAAAATGGAAGAATAAAATACGGCTTAGGTATCCAAGTATACATTTTTTGAGTGAGGGAGATTTAGATGATATGGTGGCTGATTTTTGTCATTCGTGTTTCCGCCAAATAAATAAAACTTCGCGCTACGGGGTCGCGGGGCAGATTAAAGAAAGAAAATGGCGGGGTCGCGGAGCGAAAACACGCTAATTAGCGCCCCCGCTATTTAGCGTGTTTTCGCTCCGCGCCGCCGCCATTTTAACTTGTTTTATTTATTAAACTTTGCCCAGCGCCCCCGCTTATAAGCGTGTTTTCGTCCCGCGACCCTGCCGTTTTATTTCTTAAATCTCGCTCCGCGCCCCCGCGGGGCGAAGTTTTATTCCGAGCAATAAAACTTCGCCGAGACCTCACTAATTAGCGTGTTTTCGCTCAGCGCCCCCGCCTTTTTAACTTGTTAACTTTTAACTTTTCGCTTGGCGGGGTCGCGGGGCAAAAACACGAATGACACAAATCAGCCACCATAGAAAGATGAAAAGAACGGAAGAATAAAATAAGGCTTAGGTTTCGAAGTATACAATTTTGAGGAAGTGATATGTAAGAGCTAGTTAAGTAACGTATTGGTGTTTTGAATATTATATAAGCATCTCTTTAGACTGTCCATGTTAGAGAGAAACTTCAAAACCGAATAAGATCTATCTAACGCAAAAAAAAGTAAAAAACAGCAGGTACTGTGGTACTGTCCGATATAGGGTCGGAATCCAATATAGTGAACATCTGTAGATATTTTTCTAGATTAATATAGTTTGTTTGTTCGTTCATGCAAATTGCCCCTTTTGAACACAATTTTCTTTAATTTTGATAACAAAAAGCATGCTACCTTGTAGGCTAACGGACGCATAAACAATTTAGAAATAACAAAAAATGGACGACATCCACGTACACAGAATGCTGAATATATCAGATTCTTCAAAGAAATATTCATGCAAAATCATGCAAATTTTGAAGCAATTCTGTTCATTTAATTAATCAAAATAACTATTTAATGGTGGCTGATTTGTACCATGTGGTATTTCCGCTCCGCGGGTTGTGAGTCGAAAACACAAAGTCATAACTTTGTCGTACTTTCGCTCCGTGGGGGCGCAAGGCGAAAACACAATAATACAACAGTCACCACTTTGTCGTATTTTCGTGTTTAGCCGAGAAAATACGACATGACACAAATCAGCCACCATATTATAAAGATTAGATTCGTTTGTCACTGATGGCATATGGTTGCTGTACTTAAAGTCAACAACAAAACACGTATAGATCTAATGTTACTTTGAATCTTAATGCAAATTGAATACAAACAATAATTTTATTTGTAAATTTGTTTATCAATAATAGTTACGAATGAATTGACATTAATTTCCATGAAAAGCATTTTAAATGTTATAGAATATTGTAATATATGCAAGAACAAATAATCTGACATGTGTTTGCGGTTTAGATTGTAATATTTGTCTCTTCAAATTCCGACAGGGACCTTATTCGGAAGCTATCCAGCTAGCTTCCGGGACGTCGGCGATTCTACTAGGGTGCCCGTTCGTGCCTGAAATAATTCACGGAAGGGCAGCTGAGGTATTTCTCCACCAGTAAAGCTGGAACGTCGCTATATACAGTGTCGGTGTGACGTAAAACCCTATCAAACAAACAATTTGCCATTCATGTTAGAAAATAAAAGGAAATGCATGACAAAAATAACGTTTAAAGCCGCATGCCTCCAGATGAGATAAAATATTTGAAGAAAATCAAACTTCAGGAAAATGAACTGACGTTTTAAGAAATGTAAAAAGATTCAAGATAAAAGTAATAATTTCCATTGAATGTGCCATTTGTGACCGATTTGCCAGTATTTTTCACGATATTTCTACTGCGTTACTAACACAGTGAGGGCTTTTTGAGTATTTTGACCTCTTTTTTGGTAAATTACATTGATTGTAAGTGCGGTTTGCAATATGTAAATTATTTTAATTGTTCACTTCACAATTTTTTGCTTTTTGATACTTTTTCAAAATTTTCATGAAAATTAGCAGAAATCTGGAGGTGTGCTGCTTTAAAATTAAACGAGTATAGATTTGGCGGGTGTAAAAATTCGAACGTTATGCGTTATCATATTTGTGTTAACTCACTACAATGTTATGGGTTCAAGGATATAAAATATATGTAAACTATTTCTATGTGTAAGGTATGCTTAATTAAACAATTTAATTTATCTCTTGCTACAGATGTGAGGCATGATGACTTCCCAAAAGGCGGCTTTAGTTATTGGTGCGTCACGCGGAATCGGGCGGCAAATCGCCTTGACGCTAGCGAGAAATAACTACGCCGTTGTTGTAGCATCAAAGACGGAAGAAACGTCGTCTGCGTTACCTGGGTCTATCAACTCGGTTGCCGAAGAGATAAGAGCAGCTGGCGGGATAGCTGTTCCTGTGAGATGTGACTGTCGAGATGAAAACGATGTGGCAAATGCTGTAAACGTTACAACAGATAGGTAAGGCCAAAGTAGTTCGTAGCTTAATTGTTTTCTCGTCGACGTTTGGACCATTAGGATGTTTTAAATATATATTTCTGAAAAACAATTTTGATGTGATGTCTTAACATTTTTGTGCTTGTTATGCTTAAAAGTTGAGTTGATATGAACAATTTGGTAACTTTATCATCGAGTGACCCTGTAATGCCTCAGTAGGTCATTTTCGAATGTTTGTTAAGATTAAGCTGGAAAGATTATAACACGGGTGATAAAATGTAGAGTAGTATAATATATTATAATATATCAGGATGTCCTATTTCACCAGAACGGTTATGAATTATTATCGTACAGAAATGCGTTGACTGACAACGTAATTAAATGGTATACTTAAATTTGTCGTATTACACACTGAATTATCTCCCTGAAATATATCGGTATCAAACTCCGACGCAGTGGTCCCCCTTTGCTTCTCTGAGGAGTTTCGGAGAATCAAAACAAATTTGGCCGATAATTTTTTTTAGTTTGAAAAAGTAGTAATCATTATAATAAATAAATAAATGATAAATAATTTACAATAATGATACTGAAATAGACGATATTATATAAAATGTGAAAAAAGGATTTTGATCTACCCAATAAGCCAGATCGTTCTTGTTGCTGGGTCGTTTTGGGGTTGCGTCTTTCCTTGTTGATCTTGTTTATCATATTTTTTGCCTCATTTTGTTAATGCTGTATGATTCTTAACCAATTCACCATCAGAGATAATTCTCATAAGATACAACCTTATAACGGACTGTAATGAGTCAGAGAGTATTTTACCAAAACTTTGAAATGATATTGATTTCTTTTTGACTAAGTGACTAACAAAGTACCTCCCCGACACGCCATGCTGGATTTTACTTTTATCATTGCTTAAAATGACACTTCTTGTTTTGTTTTTATATAAAATTGTTTATTAATTAAATTCGTGCAGGCTTAATACAAGACAAAGCCCTTTCTTTTTCAAATCTTTCTGCATCTGCTTTTGTGACGGACACGCCTAAATGAGTTCCGTGTCCTAAATGAGTTCCGAAAGATTTAGTTTCAAAGACTTTGCACAACAAACCATATGATCTCACATGTCACGTGACTTAAACAAGAAAGGTTTCAAGTAAATACCTTCGGAAAAGCAAAGGAGCTTAAGTCTGCCACAAATACGTGTCCCTTGTTTACGATGGTTATACTGACATGTTGGCCAATCGTTGTTTTGTCCAGACTTCAAGGTATATATATCTCCCCAAAGGACACAAAATATCCTTTGAACAATAATTATTTTTATGCTAACCATAGCATCTGTAAAAAGTACTCAGATTTTTTTTCAGCAATCCATGACTCCCGCTCAATATGCTACACTTCACCTTTAGATATTAATTAGTCTAATCCAATATAAATATTATAAATCAAAACAGATGTTTTTCTTCACCATTTCCTCTGTTTACAGATTTGGTGGTATTGATGCAGCCATATATAACGCTGGGGCTATAATGTGGAAACCTGTACTTGAGACGCCAATGAAGCGGTTCGACCTCATGATGCATGTGAATGTTCGTGGGGCGTATGCGATGGTGCTAAATGCCGTGCCAAAGATGATTCAACAAAAGCGCGGGAAAATCGTGCTTGTAGCGCCACCTATTTATAATAGGTAGTTCTGTATTTTTGTTGTGGATTAAATAGATTCTGGTAGGATGTTAACAGTATCCTATTTTAGTGAATGATTACATGTATACTGAATCTAGAACCTGTAAGCGATGGTCGTAAGACAGGGCGGACCGTGAGACATGGCGGACCGTACCAGGGTGGACCGTATGTTTGGACGGGGCGGAACATATTTTGGTGCCAGCGATGCCTCGTGGTAAATGTTTGGCCGGTTTTTGTTCGCCATAAAATACTTGAGCTAAACTTTGTATTATTGACCTTCTGAATTTGTTTAATGTATTTGCCCTGCTTGGTCCATGGTAGGGTCCGGAAAGGTCCAGCTTTGACTATGTACAGACTCAATTAAATCGAGTCTGCAATTTTCATGTAACTTTGCCGGATTAATGCTTCTGAGGGATCACACTTTATCCAGATTTTTTTTCTAAAGAGATCACTTTTGTGACCTTATTTTATTAATACCTTGCTGAGACTTTTTGACTGGTATATATCTTGTCTTCTACAAGAAACACTATTGTACAAAGGCAGATGGAAATTTGGCACACTCCTAGCGTTTCTTAGTCACAATTAATATTGTATTAATGTCGCTTAGTTAAATACGATTTTTTGCAGGTTTTTCAAGGGTAAAACTCCATACAGTATAAGTAAAGTGGGAATGACGATATTAGCTAAAGGAATGGCAAATGAACTGCCAGACACTGGTTAGTTTTCGTCTTCTTTTCTTTCTAATATAACACCTATAATACATTTGCAAACTTTGTTGGCTTTGTGTGAGCAAATGTTTCCGTTTATAGAAACTATTTATATACATTGATTGTATGCTAAAACAGACATGGGAAACACGTTGTGCTGCTACATATTATCACATAAACTTTGTGGTCAAGATGCATTAAACTTGCCGATAGTACTAGATACATGTATCGTCTTTTCTGCAATAGAGATCTATCATACAGTGCTATTGTGGGAGTGGGTATGGGATGTGGGTTTTACGTCATACCAACACATTAAAGGTCATATGCATACATGTAGCTAATTTTGAAAATGTACGTGTTGAGTCGGTTTTGTTTATTGTCGTGGAAACATTACAAATGACATGTGTAGCTTGAAGTCGTTTTAAGCATCATTTCACCACTATTCAAGACTTGCTTTTATGTAAAAATTAATTTGCACTATATTATAAAGTACATATATTTTTGTTTGTTAACTAGGAGTAAGTATAAGTACATTATGGCCAGCTACAGTGATTAAAGCTCATGTAACAGATGTGATGAATGTACCCAACTCTCATATGAGGACACCTGAAATATTTGCTGATGCAGTACTGGGTATTATAAATGAACCAACTGACAAGTTAGTGTTTTTTCTATTTGCCTTTGCAGGCTCTATTTTGTTGTATTTAGCTCACGTGACCAAAACGTGCTCATAGTATTGTAACCCCACACTCTTCTCCGTTTGTGTTGTACGAGGTCAACAATTTCTTGAAACGAAATCTCTGAAACGAATGCCTGGATATTAACTAAACTACATAGTAATGATTCTTGGGTAGTTCCGTAGCTTTGTTACGTTTTATATAACATCATCCGTTTCATATAACATCATCTGGAGATCCTCTACCAAAGTTGCTCAAATTATAACTCTAGAATAAGAATTAGCTCTGCTTTTTCATTAAATGTTATAGTAAAAACTTAATAAAATCTTCTCTTTTGAAAGCCCAAGGTCTAAGGCTTATATATTTGGCATGTAACATATCTATTTGTAGTTGATTTTTTTCAATGTTTTTGAAATAATGGTCTGAGCACCAAAACATTATCATGAGGACCTCTATCAGGGTTGCTGAAATTATGGCCATTGGGTCAAAATAGTCCTGCCCTAGTGAACATTGGTTTTCCTTATTTGTATACAGTAATATTTTCAAGAATCGTCTTTGCAGAAAGCTCAAAGCTCAGATATTTGGCATGAAACATTTTCATTTTACATGAGTGTTTATTATTATGATCAATAGATGTTAAATAATTTGTGGGTATAAGATTTCAATGAGATAGTGATACTGATAGTGAAGTAAAGAAAATTACTATCACCCTTGTGTCTGGAATGTAAACTGGTGTTGCATTTCTGTTTGTAATGTACATTGTATCAATGGTTTTTACGTCCGAGAGATCACCTTTTTTCCAGATATTTAACCGGCTGCAAAATATTTTAACAAGGTTTAACAATATATAAATATGGATTCATATGTATCAGCATCATCTATTGTCTTTTTTCACCTGTATGTACAGATTAAATGGTGCTGTGTTACTGGACGAAGATTATTTACGCTCTGAGGGCCAAACAGACTTCACAAAGTACCAGTGTGAGCCTGGGGTGGAGCCACCAAGGATGATGCCTCGTGTACTACCTGATCTATCTGTAGAAGAGGAGAATGTAAACCTTGGTTTAATTAATAATAAAGATAGTAAATTATGATATGAAGTGACTACAAGAGCACCTGTTGTGCGATTTTCATCAGGGACCCTTTTTTGTGCTATGATAATTGATGATACATTGTGATATTCATTCATAACTTGTATTTAAAATGTCACATTTTACAATACTGCAAAATCATTTTTATTTGTGGGACTTATTTTCTGTGTTTTTTCTTGACAGAGAAATCTATGAAGTTAAGACCCAACAAAATTTAATTTTCTGAACTGTAAGATTGTTTGTGTCTTGCATTATTTTTGTTTTACATTTTTTTTCAAAAACAATCAGTGAATTTACAATTCACATTCACAAAAATGTACCCATTCACATTCACAAAAATGTACCTTTTCAAAAAACACGAAATTTAATGCTCACAAAATCAAGTGAATTCACAGTGTGACAATTAGACATGAAACTACTATAATCATTACAATGAGTCAGTTCTTGTATGTAAATTAAGATTTATTCATTTGTACCAAAGCCATGAAAATGCATATTTGTTATACAAATGTAACTGTTATTAAAATTTATTTCTATACACTTTTTATACTGTGTCCAATTTTAGTTTTCATAGATTACCAGACAAAATGAAGAATTGTACCCTTCTATTTGACAACACTGTAACTCCAGTCAAAGTCTGGTCACGGAAGGGAAGTAAAAAGTACAATGTACCTTATAATTAAGCCAGCATATGTTTGGGCTTAGCACTCAATTTAACATTTGTCAAATGTGTTAAGGAGCTAACCATTTATTGCTGGATTCAACACTTCTAAAGTACTCATTAGTTTGTACAGTGTCAGGGTTTACTGTCAGTTTTAGAGTATTTCAAATTTTCAATCATTGTCGTACAACATGTAGGTTAACATATTACATGATAATACACGGGTACCTGACAATGGAAGGAATCGTGTCTGTGCTATATTAAGGATTTCCACATTATTTTGAAATAAAGGGAACAAAGCTTGATGTTATTATAGGGTTTCACTTGTTACCTTATTTCATTGTTTTTACTATTCCTGTAACCATATACCAATCTTTGTCGGATACCCATGGGAGATTAACATGTAACATAACAGTCATAAATGTTAATGGTTTGGCTGTGGGTATCTGACGATGATACCAATCTACCAACTATGTACAAATAAAGATGGCAACATAATGTCACCTTGTTGCAGAAATGGGTTAACTCCTATTACATTATATAAGGAGTTTACTCATTACTGCACTAAGGTGATGATAACTAAAATAATTCATGCCTGGAAGTGGACACACTAATAACAAAACCAGCTATAAATAAATACATGTATTCAAAAAATACAACAATCAAAAACATCAAAACAATACAAAGGTACAAAATAAAGGTGAAGGACATCTACAACATAATTATATGGTTTAAACTGCCTTACATAAATTTCAACATGCAGGTTTTATTTATAATTATATCTTTTTTAAGTCAGCCAAAATGTAATGGATAAAAGAGCCAATTTGATGTAAATCAGTAATATTTCAATTCAGACTACATTAGATAACAAGGGTGCCATAGTCACAAAATACGCCCGTTTACGAAAGCTTTAGATGGAGATTGGGGCATTATGGATAAGTGTTATCTAGCAAGCAAGTTTTTATTCTTGGCACTGTGTTGTTAAATGAACCTTAAAACAAATCAGTAGGGAAGATATGCACAGGATGTGTGACCTTGACCTTGGTCGCAGGGACCTGAATTTTATGCACGGCACTCAGCCTCACAATGATGAACATTTGTGCCAAATTATATTGAAATCCCTCTATGCATGTAGAAGTTTTGCTCCAGACAAGCGTTTTTCTATGAGCTCTGTGACCTTCACCTTTGACCTAGAGACTTGGTTCATGTGCAGGGCACTACGTCTCATGGTGGTGAACAATTCTATAAAGTAACATTAAAATTCCTCCATGCATGTAGAAAATATGCTCCGGACAACATCTGGATATTTAATCATCTCCAGTGACCTTGACATTGCAAATATTAACCTAAATTAAATGTGTCACACCTGTAGTCATGATAGTTACCATTTGTGCTACAATCCATCAATAAATGATGACTAAATGGTCCCTATACACATCTTCAAATTTTTATCTGAACTTTGACCTCTATGTGTAACCTTGACTTTGGTCGCAGGGATCTGAATTTTGTGTGCGACACTCAGCCTCACAATGGTGAACATTTGTGCCAAGTTATATTGAAATCCCCCTATGAATGTAGAAGTTTTGCTCTGGACAAGCGTTTTTCAATGAGCTCTAAGTGTGACCTTGACCTTTGACCTGGAGACCTGGATCATGCATGGAGCAATACATATCATGGTGGTGAACATTTCCATAAAGTATTATAAAAATTCTTCCATACATGTAGGAGATATGCTCCAGACAAAATCTGGATATTTTACCATCTTTAGTGACCTTGCATATATAAAGTATATGTGTCACAGCCGTAGTCATGATAATGACCATTTGTGTTACAATCCCTCAATAAATGATGATTAAATCGTCCCTATACACATTTTCATATTTTTATCTAAACTTTGACCTCTATGTGTGACCTTGACTTTGGCTGCAGGGACCTGAATTTTGTGCGCGACACTCCGCCTCACAATGGTGAACATTTGTGCCAAGTTATATTGAAATCCCTCTATGCATGTGGAAGTTTTGCTCCGGACAAGCGTTTTTCAATGAGCTCTAAGTGTGACCTTGACCTTTGACCTAGTTCATGTGCGTGACATGGCTTCTCATAATGGTGAACATTTCTATGAAATTTCATTAAAATCCCTCCATGTGTGTAGGAGATATGCTCCGGACAAAATCTGGATATTTCATCATCTTTAGTGACCTTGACCTTGTATATATTGACCTAAATTATATGTATCACAGCCATAGTCTTGATAATGACCATTTGTGTTACAATCCCTCAATAAATGATGACTAAATGGTCCATATACACATCTTCATATTTTTATCTGAACTTTGACCTCTATGTGTGACCTTGACCTTGGCCGCAAGGACCTGAATCTTGCGCGTGACACTCCGCCTCACAATGGTGAACATTTGTGCCAAGTAATATTGAAATCCCTCTATACATGTGGAAGTTTTGCTCCGGACAAGCATTTTTCAATGAGCTCTAAGTGTGACCTTGACCTTTGACCTAGAGACCTGGTTCATGTGCGCGACACTGCTCCTCATAGTGGTGAACATTTCTATGAAGTTTCATTAAAATCCCTCCATACATGTAGGAGATATGCTCCGGACAAAATTGGACGCCGCCCGCCCGACCGCCCGCCAGGGGCGTTCCCATAATACGTCCCGTTTTTCAAACGGGCGTATAAAAATCAATTTGTATCAACGCAGAAAACACAAAAAAAAACTTGTCTGCATTAATATTATTTTAAGTAACCATGGCCTGTCACACCAGGCAATTGGTATGGAATTACTTTGTTGGAATGGATTGTAATTGTGCAAATACATAATTTTTCATTTCATTTTCACTTACACAACAATAAACAAACTACTGCAATTTTACAACACTTTTGATCAAAGCACACCAAAACATCTTGAAATATATGTATGTGTAATGTGTCATTATTGAACAAAATATCCATAACAATATTGAATAACACAGGATTTCATTAAAAAGGTTTAAAGTGACATTATGCCCAACAAAGAGCAAAAAGTGAGTGTTCAGGTAAAATTTAAATAACTTTACATTTTGTTATACTTGCTTTCAGTTTTAAAATAAATGTCACTTGAATAATCAATAACCAAGTGACCTCATCAATACCAATAAATATCCTTCGTTAATCATTCGTAATATTCAATTTATAAAAAGAGTGGGACTGTCTTTATATATTTTAGGCAGTTTTTATAATTTATCCGAAATATTTGTAATTATTAAATATGGTTCAGTCGCCATTAGAATGGTAAATATTTTAAAAAATACAACTATTTTACTCAAGCTCGATAATGAAAAAATGAGAATAACGTCACTTTAACACAAACATTTTCATTTATCATCCAGCATGGAATAAAATATACAATATCAACTGTTTTACTGATTTAAAAAGACCTCATTTGACCACAAAGGAACCTCAAAGAGGAACAGTCAGTCTTTGATGGCTAGCCAGATACAATGTAGCTTTTCACACCAAATAAATTAACATCTGTAGCAAGATTCTAAATCATTAAGAGGCTACAAAAAATAGTCTATTAATTAACAATCTACATAAAGTGGGATTAGAACACTCACTAACAAAATCAAATATGTAGTGCTGTAGTGACATAGAGAAGATAGAGAAAAAAGATACAAATGTCCATGTACGCAAAACAACAATAATCTGTAACAGATAAGATTCTATAAAGGGCACCAAGATTGTATTGCACAATGCTAGAACAAACCATACAATACAATGCTGGAATGCATTTATTTCCATTACTTATGTAGTTTAACCAGATCTATAAGTGTGCTGCAGAAAGTCTTCAATATATAAATAACACTGACTCCTCTTTAATTTTCTCTAAATGTCACAAGAAAATAACAGCCTGCTCTTCTATGAAGACACAACAAACTTTGTGATGTCAGCTGCTTAATTCAGGTATTTGATGCTAAAATTCCTTGAAATAACAATGATTCCTTGAACATAACAATGATTCCTTGAAAATAGCAATGAGTCCTTGAAAATAGCAATGAGTCCTTGAAAAATGCAATGAGTCCTTGAAAATAACAATGAGTCCTTTAAAATAACACTGATTCCTTGAAAATAACACTGATTCCTTGAAAATAACAATGATTCCTTGAAAATATCAATGATTCCTTGAAAATATCAATGATTACTTCATAATTGAAAGCTGGGCATGTCAATGACACAAATTTAGCTCAATAAAATTGTTATACCACACAGATTTTTGACTGGTCTTTATTATAATTATTTTTGACTGGTTTTCATTTACCAAAACAGTACTTTGGTTTTTTGACTGGTTTCTTTTTTATAGAACTGGTTTTATGTATTATAAGATGAGCTGTTTCCGTGGATAAAGAGATGTCTTCAATCTAGTATCACCTGGGCATCCTTACCGTTGATCAAATGTTTGACCCCAGTTTTGAGGTCAAATTCTCTACGTAGAAAGGCAAACAGAAGATCTGTGATTAGGAAAATCTGCGGAGGAAAAAGAAAGAGTTAAACTGGGTGATGATGATATGATGATAAACAAAGAATCAGTGGTGATGTAAATGTATAGGTTGGACATAGCAAATACCGTATAAGTGTTTTTTCCTGCAGTCACTTTATTTCTGCGTTTTCTGCGGTCAGTTTCAGCACCGCAGAAATAAAAACCGCAGAATATTTCTCCACATTTTTTTTTTTAAGATACGAGTCCTACATTATGACCTGTTTCCTTTAAAGTAATAACGACGAACGGATTATAACGGTTAGCGGGTCATCGAGTTATATAAAATTGCTTTCGGCTAAATATGCAATATGTGCATGTAAGGATGTACTTGTTGTTAATTATGCCAATTTATGAACAAAGAAATTCAAACATTATAGTGTTTGCCTGTACACTAAAAGGTTTGTTTACCACTAAATCATTAAAACCATTTAAACCCTTATACTGCTAAATAATCGTCGTATACATTAATTGTTGTCTGATTTACGATAAACTTCTATCAATTTTATTAAATTAAAGATACTACCTGGGTATATTTTTCACACTTCATTTCACACTGATTAAAAGATGCAAACTGTCTATTGTGGCACATTATATTTGTTTGCAAGCAAACAATATAATTGTTTGTAATTACTATATAGTTTTGCGGTGACGACGGTAAACAAAATTTTAATGCGAATGTGTACATGCAAATAAATTAGGTAAATTAATGTGACTTAGACTTTGATAAGATGAGCCGCAAAATTTAAATCACGTTTTGTCCAAACAATGTGCCGCAGAAATTAAGTCCGCAGAAATAAAAACATGCCAAAATTTGGAAAAACCTCAGAATTTGGAGCCTGCAGAAAAAACCACTTATATGGTATACAAAAACGCTCTGAATATTAATATCATTTTCAATGCAATGTGATGTACATGTAAAGGTTGGGCATAACACTATGAATATTAATATCATTTTCAATGCAATGTGATGTACATGTAAAGGTTGGGCATAACACTATGAATATTAATATCATTTTCAATGCAATGAATCTTACCATCATTTTTAATGCAATGAATATTACACTCATATTCAAAGCTTAATATTTACTGTGGATGGAATTGTGTATTCAAATGTTTAGTCTTCAATACATATAAAGTTTTAATAACAGTATCCAATTCATTTTCTTTCTCAAGCATGCTCGACTATTTTCATTGCTTGAAAGTAAAACAAGAGTCTAGATAATGAAGAATATTCTAAGTTTTAATGGGGCCATAATTCAGTTAAAATCCAGAGTTAGGAGATAGTGACCTCCTCAAATAAGTGTGTGAAGTTTAAACAAACACTAGAATACTGTGTCTGATAAAACAAGATATAAGTATATAAATTACCTGTGCTGTAGAGAATGTGAGAGCTATAGCAAAGTAGAAGTTAGCATTAGCACTGCCTGCATATATCCACAGATGCCACAGTATAGGAGACAGTACTGTGCAACATAGGAACATGTTGGTTACAATAAATGTGTTCCTCATATCTGAAATCACATTAATAAAATCACATTAAAACAAGATAAACACCAAACGCCTTTTCTACTTTGGTCTATTTTTCATAAAACACCTTTTATACTTTTGTCTTTTTTTTATTTTCATGAAACACTTTTCTACTCTTTTTTTTCATGCCAGTTTAAACTTAAACTCTCTCATTTATGTGAACTTCAAACATTTTTATGTTTTCACTTATTCTAATTCTCTTCCTACATGCTTTATAAATGTGTAAATCACTATATTGATCATGAGCAGTTAGTCTTCTTCCTTGAAATCATAACACGTTTTGTATTACAACTGTCTTTGGTGCTCATATAAGTTAAGCTTAAAATAATACAAGAAGGAGCTCCAAAGGTCTTCATTTACCAGTAAAACTGGATAGTCACCATGTTACCTCTACAATATTGATGGGACTTAAATCCAACATATAAGGGCAGTGGCCAAAGATGTTTGCCTCCCTACCTAGTAAACATGGATTTGGACCCTATTTGGATCTGAAATCATATTTCCTCATTAGACTTCGAAACTGGCTAAGTTCCAGGGAGCAGTTTAAAAAAGATTGCAATCTTTTTGTTTATTTGGATTTCAAATACAGCATAATACAAATTCAATCTTACACTTTGTGGTACAAATACAGATAACATTTCTTTTTACTATGTACATCTTTATAAAAAATTGAAACTTATATGTGATAAACAATAAACTTACATGAAAAGACATGTTTCCACATTGGCAATAATGTAACAAATATTGCCACATCAGCATAGCTAGGATAGGATTTAAATATTGACATAAGTGTGACTAGAACATAGGCCAGGAACACTGGGTGATCTCTGAAATAAACACATACAAAAACTATTACATAAATGAGCCGTGTCATGACAAAACCAACATAATGGGTTTGCGACCAGCATGGATCCAGACCAGCCTGCGCATCCGCACAGTCTGATCAGAACAAAAAATAAATGTTGATGTTATCTCAACTCAGAAATATCTATGTTAACATCACCACACAATCTTTTGTGAAATATAAAATGGAAACTATTGTTTAATAAAACAACAAGCAGATAAGGTTAATTGTAATACACAGAAAAAGCGATTTTTTAGTATGTATGCATCTGCAACATTTCTTTTACTTTGCTATTTATTTAAAAAAAAAACACTATTCAAAAACATGCATACTTCAGTTTGATAGCTAGTGGAACTGTGTAGAGAAATGCGTTGATCTGGAACACACAAATGAAAAATGGACGAAAATGCTCAAACATCTCTGTGAAAAAATACCAAAATACCCCCATGTTTGGTGTTAGATCTGGCACACCTAGGCTGAAATAGACAATTTTAAAATTCATGATTTAATCACCACTTGTGTGGCTTTAACAGTGGCAAATTTACATTCTTATACATATTTTGTGAAGGCCAATAATTACATTAAGATAAAGTTTCTATGTCAAGAGTTCATAATTTTTCTTTTAATACTTAATAGTCTGAAACAATCTTTATTATCCTGGGTCACCAAAATCTGATTACGACTAACTTCTCCATTTTTAACTGAAGCATTCCCTTAAGTTATTCATATGATATTTATATAGTATTTCTTCAAGATGCCACTTGTTTGTACAGGCTATGGAACAATCTGGGCAATACGGACAATTGATTTTGACACCCCTGATTATCTAACAATGTCCACACATCAAAGCAAGTGTGAAAGAAAGTGGTGGCCTAGTGGTAAGTGTGTCTGCCTCTCAACCCAGGGATCACTGGTTTGAGCCCTAATCAGATCACAATCATGTTTCTTCATTTGACACCAGTACTGGTTCGAAAGTGATTAATTTAAGTTGAAAGCACTTGTTTAGCAATCAAGCTTAAATAAATATGTCTATACCAAAGCAAGTTTAAAACAGCCATTTCACGTACAGTTTCAGATGTTACAAAACCTAAAATAAGGTATCATCAAAACGCTGAAAACTAAACTTGTACAAAATATTCAGGAACAGTGCATTCTGTAATTTTACTCAGTTAAATAGAGAGTATTTCTTGAAAGAATCTACAAAGAACCTTACATAAAGCCTGTTGTAGCATGCAGGAACTTCCAAGAATGTGCAAAAAAAAAATAGGACACAAAAATTAATATAGCTGTGAATCCTAGACTAATCATAGCTGTCCGTCCATACACTGGCAGTGGCACGGATTCCTTTGATTTCTTCCCATCGGACATGTTCTGAAATAAGCAGATTGCACATTTAAAAGTACATTGTATTTTTTTTCAGCAAAGTGACTCACAGATTTTTTAACTTTAAAAGTGTTAAAGACCCTTGGAATGTTTCAATAAGCTTAGAGCTTCCAACATGATGAAACTTAAGTAAATTTGTATCAACTTTAGACCCTAGATGCCCCTTGTACATTAATTAAAGCTCATACTGGCACCACAGAAGTACCACCAACAATCTGTCAGTTTGCAGGGTTGTCAACATTGAAACATGTTTTTTTTAAAATAAAACAATACATTTTTGAATTTAAACTGGATTTTATTTCAATATTCAAACTTACATTAACTCAAATGTAAGAGATTCACCACTTCATCCTATACTGGAGACAGACAATTATTCTAGGTTTGTGTAGAATAATGTACATACCACACATCATTTTATGACCTGCTTGATCCTGTACAATAGACAGTCCAGATATTGTTTTCTTCCATAACTTATGAAGTGTTTCATTAAAAACTTATAAAGTGTAGAACTCTCTCATTCTAGTGAGTAACGCAGACATGGAATGTTTTAGGGTTGAAAAAATCATTGTATTTAACGAAAACAAAAGTTTTCCAAAAAACATTCTTTGTATTTGGTTACCTCATTACCCCCATTAATTAAAATGCAATATCAACAATACAAATAATTGTTTTTAAACTGTTTATAAATTGTTTTAAATTTTTTTGTACAAATGTACAGCCATATATATCTGTGAACACACAGCTGCTTCAAAGAAACAGTTGACACTCTGTGTGTGTGTGTGTGTGTGCATGTGCGTGCGCGTGTGTGTGTGTGTGTGTGTGTGTGTCTGTGTGTGTGTGTGTCTGTGTGTGTGTGTGTCTGTCTGTCTGTATGTATGCATACAAAACGTTCGCCGTAAATTGCATCTAAAGAAAGCAATCCTAAGTCTTTGAATATACAATAAAATACAGAACAGAACATTATTTTATTTTGACATGTACATAGTACATAATCATACTTAGTGTGATGATACATTGATAGAAATGCATAAACAATACAAAAAAATAATATATACTCATAAAAAATTTGTTGAAAGAGCTTCACACGTTGTTTTTCCTTCAACGAAGGTCTAACGTGTACTCCGAAGTTTTCGTTAATTAACGACAGTTTCGTTAGAATTTTTGGAATAACGAACGTTTTAGGTTAGAAGGTAAATTACTAACTAGAGCTTAACCAAGGCTTAACGATGATCGTAACTCTGACGAATGCTTCTGGTTACTCAACCCTGGACAGTCTTTGGTATTTCTTTTCTGCCATCATGCAGATCACAAAAAGTCACATGGTATAGGCACCATTAGAATGTGTTCAATATTCATATTAAAAGTCATACACATTGAAAAACTATATACATTACCTATATATTGTAAATATTAAGTACCATATTGCTGTATTTCATTGAAGAATAGATCTATAAATTAAGACTTTATTTCTACAAGTACTTACAGTATTGAAGAAGATGGCTGCTGGAACAACCAGCATGATGGGATACAGTGATTGATATGATGCAAAAGCTATTGAAGCCATACATAGCCATTTGTTGCCTGAAAATAGATAGGAGTTAAGTAATCATTTATAGCCAAATCGATTTATAAATAAAATTTACCGTCTAATGTACCTAATATCATTAAATACATAGGTGACAGTGACAAATTCAATTTAAACATGGCTGCAGCAGAGCTGGCAAAATCTGATTTTGACTTACTTGTCCAAATGATCTGATCATATCTTTAATTTTTGGTAAAATTTCACTTGTCTGTACAGGCTGTGTGACAACCTGGGCATGAAGGACAAATGATTTTACCACCTCTGATGGCAGAAATCATGCTTGATACCTTTTCTGTGTATTATTCTAGTCCCAAGCTGGCATTCAAAAAATAAACAAACACAAAGTTAACACCTTCAGGAAGCTAGCTTTATAACTTGAAAACTTTTATTCCAATGACATAATTTAAGAATGGTTCCAATGCATCATATTCAAACTAAAATAACTACAACTATGTTCTATAACTTAACAAGACGCCAAAAAACCCAAAAAAAACTAGAACTCCGCGAGTCGGATGTGTCGCCTTGTGAACAATATAGTTTAGGAGAAATGCCCACGACAAAAATGAAATTTGAAAATCAACAAAGGACAATAACTCAAAAAATAAGAAATGCAGAGCAGCAGTTTCTGTGCACTGCACTTCTTATCAATAAGATCTATCATCCTATTAAGTTTCAAGTCTAAAGCTTTTTATCACACACCCGTGCCGATTTTGCGACTCCGTAAATATGGTATTGCACGGCCGTGCATATAGTTTGACTTGACGTCATTAGTGTTATACGAACAAAGAGTAAAGACGCGCTGAATGTTAGCGTTATACTATAGGCGCGTCAATGAAAAATGACTTTTATTTCACTTTAAACGGTCTTTATTTTGGGTATGTGATAAATAGGATATTAAATTCGTGTAAGTTCATTACTGAATTTATTGCACTCGTGGAATAAAACAATATTATGCTCGCCAGAGGCTCGCATAATATAATTTTATTCAACTCATGCAATAAATTCTGTATTGAACTTACACTCATTTAATATCCTCTATATAATTTATGAGAAATGGCCTGGACAAAAATAAAGTATGAAAATTAACAAAGGGCAATAACTCAAAAAAAAAAAAAAAAATGCAGAGTACCAGTTCTTGTGCACTGCACTTCTTCTTAATGAGATCTATTATCCTATGAAGTTTCAAGTCTATAGCTTTTATACTTTAGGAGAAATGGCCCAGACAAAAATAAAGTATGAAAATTATCAAAGGGCAATAACTCCAAAAATAAGAAATGCAGAGTGACATTCTTGTGCACTGCACTTCTTCTTAATGAGATCTATCATCCTATGAAGTTTCAAGTCCATAGATTTTATACTTTAGGAGAAATGGCTCGGACAAAAATAAAGTATGAAAATTAACAAAGGGCAATAACTCAAAAAATAAGAAGTGCAGAGTACCGGTTCTTGTGCACTGCACTTCGGGTCATTATCAGAAGCATTCATACCAAGTTTGAAGTCAATCAAACTTATAATGACTGTCTTATACTCAGCACAAGCTTTAGGGGACGCCATAACGCCGACAACGACGCTGACAACGCCGACAAAAGTAACCCCTACATGGCGCCTTTTTCAAGGCGACACAAAATGACCCTACCCTTCTGCAAGCTTATTGCAGTAGTTTTTAAAGCTGTCACTATTTATTAAATCAAAGCAACAATATTTTCTAAAAACTAAAGAAATGTCAAAATAGCCTATAAAATTAAAAGGTCACTAGAATGTGTCCATAGGGCATGAATGCCCATACATTCCACATTTCTTCTATCAGTCAACAGATGAATAAAGTGATGGACAGAGAAGGGCAAATCTATGATCCCCCACCACCCGAAATGGGAGCATAAAAGTTAATATTAGTACACCTAAATCAAATAAAAATCCGACCGAAATTCATCTTCAATCTATAACTTTGGGACTACAGTAAAATAAAGGCAGCCATGATAACATTTTATTACTGCATGTAATAGATAAAAAATGTGTTATTTTTTTAAAGGCCCATTATGCTTCAGAAATAAGTTATTATAACAATTTATCACAAGCATTTTCGTTCTTGGTGTTTTGTTATTTTTTAAAAAAAATATACTTCTTGGCCAACTTGTTGAACCATCCTTTGCTTCTGTTGCTTTTTAGTAAAGTCATACTAAAATGATTTAGTATTTTGCATGGAAGTCTAAGTACTATTTTGTTTACATTTTACTACCTTTATGACAAATAATTTCATATTCAGTGCAACTTCCTTCAGGTGATAACCATCTAACATGCTCTAGAATCATTATCTAAATGTTAAAAAAAACCCTCATATTTGCACTTTCTAAAGAATGAAAAATTTATTTGTTTCTGAGGCATAATGTGCCTTTAACATATAATTCTCCAATTTACTATCCTTCTAGGATTGGCCTACAATACTATTTACTATCTAGGTCATTTCTTTCTTCTATTCATACCAAAATGTTGTAATGCCTAGAAATAAGGGAATTTCAACAAGGTCATTTGTATACTTTTTGATAAGGAAATACTGGGATTAAATTTCTTACAGTCCCTTTATTTAGTTTTATCACCTTATTCATCATAACATAAGAAGATATTAATCATGTTTCTGATCTTTAGCTTAATACTATTAACATTTATTCAAAATGAAAATAGGAAATAATAATTTTGTACAAATAAAAATATTTAATATCTATCTGAAATCAAGTTCACTCAGAATTACATTCAATGTCATAGGTCAATGTCTTGCCAAAAGAATGATTATCTTGGTTTCAGTATTTCCCTTATAACACCTCGTCTCCAAAAACAACAACAATCAATATCAAATTAAATTTAGTGTTTAATTTGTTCAGAGCGCTTGAGAGAGCAAAACAAACTATATATTCATATATAAATGAAATCAATATACATTTCACATTCACATATCACGATGACAAATCATATATTTAAGCATATAATTCATTAATCAAAATGTTTGAAGTATTTAATCACATGATACTGTTTCAAAATATTTAATTTACAACTATTCCAAATTATACATTCTATTTTTCATAATCAAAACGAACTGGAAATAATTAAATTTGAAAATTAATTTACGTGTTAACTGGTAGGCTCTCTCAACGCTGAATGACTACTATTACCCGCCAAACTGAAAATCCATGTGCATTACTAGGAAAGGTCACAATTCTTCAATGCAAAATTAAGTAGTAAGGCTAATGGGATGTAACATTTTAACCCCTGCTGTCAATTGATATTATCCCGAACTCGGCAAATGTGGGTTTTTCCATTCTAATCCCCCAGTTCAAACTTTTACCATTATAGCTTCACAGTGCATTACCATTCACAATAAATTTGTCACCTGTAACGCTTATTTTCGAAGCTGTAACTTTAAAAATAAGTTTGTACCCCGGATAAGCTGGGAAAACCCAAAATTTTCTTAATTCCGGAGTAAGCCTATCTATCAAATATTTGTAGATGTCTGCTGAAAATGATACATGCCAAACATGACTTGAGAATGGCTCCCAAGTCTGCATGAAATAAGTAACCACAACTCTAAGTAACCTGTTACCCCCGAGACTGGGGCCATTTAGACGCAAAAAATTTGATTCATATAACTTTTTAGACAACCACAAGGTGAATAATATGTAAAACATAAATGCTCTGAGCATTGTAGAGTCAAAAGAATATGTTTTAGTCATATTTAATTACTTCATAAAATTATGTTTATATCTAAGTGACCCAGCAAGTCAGTGTACATATTTAGTCCCAAGTGGTATGTTTGATTATAACTTCTGCTGAAGTCCACAAGGCAATGCTATATGCAAAACTCTTATCTCTGGACATTGTAGTTTAACACAATATGCCTTTAATATGTTTTCTATGTACAAGTCAACATAAACTAAGTGATTCCCAGGTTGGGCCAATTTTGACTTCAACTCCCATGATTTATATAGCTTTCATAGAGAACCACAAGTTACTACATGCTGTGTTTCTATGCTCAGCACATTGTAGTTTGTGAGAAGATTTTAAAATATACGAGGTTTATTCAAAAAGTTTTGTTACCAATGGTCTTCCGTAGCGAAATCGACGGTTTTGCTTCAATAAACATATACAGTTATGTACATAAATATTCACACTATATAAGCACGAAAAAAACGTGCAAATCGATGCAATACTGACAAAATTATTCAGTTTTAAAGTAGTGTCACTCATATACACTGGCCATATTTTGGAAATAACAATGAAACGACATTACAAAGTTGAAGTACGCACTTATATTAAAAGTCGCACTGCTTTGCATATATCTCCAAAAGACATTTATAATGAGCTGAATGGTATTTATGGACATTCTGTGGTATCATTTATGACAGTTTGTAGGTGGGCGAAAAAATTTAAAGGTGGGCTTTCTGTGATTAAAGATTGTCATCGAAGTGGACGTCCGAAGTCGTCAGTGACTGATAAGCATGTGGCTGCTGTGAAAGCATTGGTGGAAGAAGATGGCCGTTATACAGTAAAGGATATGGCTAATAGTGTTGGCATTTCAGAAGGAAGTGTTCATGAAATTCTATCAAAAAAACTTGGACTTAAAAAGGTTTGTGCACGTTGGGTGCCCCATTTACTGACCAATGACCAGAAAAAAATGAGAGTCATGTGTTCTAAAAAACTCCTTAAAGAGTTCAAAACATTTAACAGCAGGACTATTTCTAATATGTTAACTGGAGATGAGACTTGGGTCTACATGTTTGAGCCACAAAGGAGGGGTGATAATAAACAATGGAGAGGAAAAAATCAAAAACGTCCAGTAGTGGCTAAACGGCAGAAAAGCTCAACGAAAGTTCTGTACACCATTTTTTTCAATCATCTTGGTCCAGTTATTCAGATACCATCACAATCTGGAAAATCAATCACTGGAACATATTATAAGAACGTTGTGCTAAAAAGGATAAAAAAGTTTTATAAAAAGAAACGTCCCAGTACTGGATTAAGGGGAGTTAATTTACTACATGATAATGCCCCCGCGCATAAAAGCAAGGGGGTTGTTAACTTTCTCGCTGAAGAAATGGTAAATGTGTTAAGCCACCCCCCTTATTCGCCGGATTTAAGTCCATGTGACTTTTTTTTATTTCCCCGGCTAAAAAAAGATGTTGTCTGGACGTCGGTATACCACCAGAAGCGGACTTGGAAGTGCTGTATATCAGTGTTTGAGACTGATACCAAGGGCAGACTACTCTGATGCATTTAGACAGTGGAAATTTCGATTACAAAAGTGTATTTCTGTAGGTGGTGAATATTTTGAAGGGATGAAATAAACCATTTTCGTATATATTTTCTTTATCTTGTATTTAATACCCGATAACAGAACTTTTTGAAGAACCCTCGTATAAGTCTATTTATTAGACTTCTCTAGACTAGTAAGAGTCAGAGAGAATAGGTATACAAGCTTGCCATGCTCTATACTTGTATTAAATGTGTACAGATTCAACATTGTAAATGTTAATAATATGATACTAATCCTGTCCAAAAGTTGTGAAGATTGTATAATCTAACCACCATGGTTAACCTGTAATTGTTACATGCAGAAGTATTGCTGGACAAATCTTTGAATAAAATTTCCATATAAAGTAGTACAAAATGAATAATTTGATTCAAATGTTATTTTTGATAATATCATTAGCAAAACGTTCTGCAGTTAATATTATAACATTCCAATTAAATCTATTGCCACAGGGCTGGGCTTCCAATACCCTCACTGCTTGTTAGTAACAATCAAAAGCCATGCAGGAATTTTTCAAGAGTTCAGAGATAGGAAAACTGATGTATGCTAGAGTTATGGGTCTTGATTTCAAAGATGTATGCAAAAGTTATGGGTCTTGCTTGAATATTTTAATAACAATTTTAATGATGCTTGCAATAGTTACAGGTATTGATTGAATACTCTAGTCTTAAAGATGCATGCTAGACTTATGGGTCTTGGAAGCTAAAGAGACTTCAGTAAACAGTTTTTGTAGTATTGCTACACCTGTTTGCTGAAGCCACCTCCCTATCCAAAGTCAAACAAGACTATGATAGATTTATGTCCCTAATTCAATAATTGCGCACTTTTTAAAATAAATCTCTATGTTTACCAGTTAGTCAATCTATTTCACATTCATAAGCCAAAGTTCAGAAACAAAAATAATACCGGTAAGCTTGATTGAGGTATACTTCAAAATAAATCATCTTAGTAAAAATTAGTGATCTTGGGTTTTACATGGCATCAACACAGTATCCAGCTTTTCTGGTGGAGGAAGGCCTCAGGTGCCCATTTGTCCATGGTGAATTTCTGTGCTGATGTTACACACAACTAATTTACATGCAGATGCATTCAAGTGACCTTTGGTGACCCATGATGCACACATTATTTTCAATTGTAATTAACACAATTGCCTTCTTGCCTTTTTTTTAGTTAGAAAAAACTGATATTTAACCAACATACTGACTGGATTCATATTGATAAGAGTGATGTTACATAAATTTCACTATTAAATAGGTCTAAAGTTTTAACAAGAGCTCCGCAAGCAGTGTTTACGCTCATCTGTGAAGGGCAACAACTTTTAATAACCAATTTTTACAATTATCATAACCTTAAAAGGGGTATAACTAAATAAAAGTGTCAGAATAATGACCCTTGTCTTACAACTGTGTCTTGTCAAGATAATCAAATACAAGTTTCAAGTTGATAGCTTTGATAGTTTTGAAATCATCCTACTAATATCAAAAAAAAGTTGAAAAGAGGCATAACTCTAAAAATATTCATAGCTGCTTTCAGAATAGTGCCTCTTGTATTTCAACTGTCCCTTGCCATAACAAACAAAGATTTCACCTTTTTGCCAATGCATGGACATGATATTACTGTACTGGCATCATAAAATCACCAGTTGCACACTGTGGCATGACATTCCCTTGTATGTACATGTAGTGAAGGACCTTTTATATATCACGGCTATGAGACTTACTTTAATTATGGTTCACATACAGTGATACTGGAATTTAACTTAAGAAAGTATGTATGATAGTGTTTTTAATAGTATTATAAATGAAAATGCAAAATTGTTTCATACACTACTTCATTAGTATCATAAAATTTGTTATTTAGTCATGAAAAATAATTTTCAAAAGCCTGAATTGGAAATCTGGAACTTTTTATCATTATTCCATTTTAAAGGTACTTGCTTTTTATATTGTCTTACATTAAAAATGTTCTTAAATTAATGTTACAACAAACTTTTCCTATTTACTAATTTTCATCACACACATCAATTGTTGTTTATTTATAATAAATAAATATCTAACTTGAATACTTTCTCAGCTGAAACAAAATATTTTGATCTTGAGAAAATAAAAAATATTATTTTTTTTATCAATATTTGCAAGGAAAATACACTTTATTACAATGCCAAAATCATGAAATTTAATGACAGATTTTGGAACTTCTGAAACAATTTAAACGAATAAATTCATTTTAAAACAGGTAAATTTAAGTGGTAAATCTTTATTTTTTACAGAAAATTCACAAATAATTATCAAATGATTTTTTTTTTTATAATAAAATCTTTTATCACATTAGATGTCTGATCACTGTTATTGTATCTTGCCAAACTTGGATCACTTACTTAACCCTCTGCCTGCTCGAGGCAACTAAATTTACCTAGTTTTCGACCAGTGCAGACCTAGGTCTTGCCATTTGATTTTCATGATCTGCACTATTTTGCTATTCAGTCAGTACATATTCTGACATTTTTCCTAATACTGATAAATTGTTTTGTTCAAATTTTAAAGAAGGATAATTATATTTAAGATATCTAGGTCAGAGATGCCATTGCTACTTGGGACTCATAAATAACATTTGAGCCGTGTCATGACAAAACCAACATAATGGGTTTGCGACCAGCAAGGATCCAGACCAGCCTGCGCCTCTGCGCAGTCTGATCAGGATCCATGCTGTTCGCTTAAAAAACCCTATAACAAGTAGAGAAACAGATAGCTAACAGCATGGATCTTGCTCCAGTTAAATAAAATCAAAATTAATAAATATTTCAATATTATAAACTACTGAAACCTTTCTTTTAATCAAAACAGCTAGAAATACATGACTGGTATTAAGAAAGAAGAAGATCAAGCAAGTTGTTCAAGATGAAGTTTGATGATATACTACATGAGCTGGGGGAGTTTGGTTTCTACCAGAAACGGTTGTATCTGTTACTATGTATACCTGCCATCAGTGTAGGCTGTTATATGATGGGGAATATCATCTTACTTTATACACCAGACCATAGGTAACAATTACTTTCCAATCTATCAAACAATTTTATCACTTAGTGTTCAATATCAATTGCTGATTAATGAAATCGCTCCAATTTAAAAAAAAAAAAATGTCCTTCTTATTCGTGTAGGCAGTCAAATTCTGTCACTTATTTACTTAGTGGAACGTAGTAACCAATTGCCCTGCTAACTTTCAATACAAATACCAAAGGGTTATTCTCTCACTTAATTGGGAAGAGGCCTTACCCGAAAAAATTATCGCTAAAATTGCTAATTTGGGAAGTAAAACTCAGCTTAGTGTTTTTGGGAAAATATCATGATTTAAAAAAATTTCAAGGAGTCAATTCTGTTTCAATCTATCAAA